ACCCCTAGCCCGCCAGAAGTAGTTACAGAAAAAGAGAACTTCGTCCCTACTCCCCAAAACTAAAACCAGCCAGGTCATTAAGAATGAATCCATTTGAAAACCAGGAGGAATGAAAGGATAAAATCTGAGCCATTTGCTATCTTGGCAACTTTTGCTGAGCAGGCCTGTGACCTTGTCAATCCTGACTCCCATTTTACTCTTCTGCCTCAGAACTGGAAAGTACTGGAAGCAGAAACAGAACTAACCACTCCCTACAGCCACAGGCAGAAGATAACATTGGAACAAACTTCAGCCTTCTGTTACAAAGCCCCAACAGCCCAACCGGCAAACCCCACCCTTTTTTAATCCAATTACAATCCAAAAAACCTCGAAGCCTCCACCCCTCAGTGTGTGCGGGTGGATCTCTCCACACCACACCCCTGTCCTTTGTTGGAGAGGGAATACTAACTTTAATCTCCACACTTCTTTTTGTGTATTCTTTCGCAGCCAGTGTCGATCACCCTAACAAGAGTCAGCCTGCCAGCCAAAAGTTCTTGGGTTCAGTTGCTGGTCAGGGCACATGCCTGGGCTGTGGGTTCAGTCCTGGGTCAGGGCGCTGGTGCAGGAAGCACCTGATCGTTGTTTCTCTCTCACAATAATGTTTCTCTCCCTCTGTCTCTCCTTTTCCTTTCCCTTCTCTTTAAAATCAGTGAGCATGTCCTCCAGTGAGGATGAAAAAATGTAAGTGTCCTTTGTAGTTTCTAGTGACCAGTTCTCTATGTTTTGCAAAGATTTTTTCCCGTTCTATGAAGTAGCAGCCCTGTTTTGAGGGCATGTTCTCTCCTTCAGGATCAGAGTTTTCATTTATTTTTTATTACATTTTTTCTTTTCATTCCTTTTAAAGAGAGAGGGCAAGAGAGAGAGCGAAACATCGATGTGAGAGGGAAGCATCGATTGGTTGCCTCCCATACGTGCCTGGAACAGGGATCATTCGTGACCTGACCAGGGATCAAACCCACAACCTTTCGGTTATGGGATGATGCTCCAACCAACCGAGCCACACCGGCCAGGGAGGATCAGACTTTTGAAAAAATTTTTGCAATGACAGTGCCGTACAATATTATTAGTTTCAGGTGTGTGGCATAGTAATTAGATATTGATATAGATTATGAAATGATCCCCTGGTAAGTTTGGTACCCACCTGATGCCTTGCATAGTTGTTACAGTAGTAGGGACTATGTTCCCTACGCTGTACTTTGCATCCCCATGACTGTTTTGTAACTGCCAGTTTGTATCTCTTCACCCCTTCCCTTTTCACCAAGCCCGGCAAACCCCCCAGGTTCAGACTGCTGGAGCTTTTGTTCTTCATTTACTCCTTCTGCAGAGCTTGATGAGATGGGGTACAGGGCACCGCCCTTGATGTTGGAGGCTCAGCTGTGAACATAACAAGGTCCCTGTCCTCCTAGAGCTTATATTCTAGCTGGAGAGAAAGACAACCAACAAGTAAACAGAGGAATATAGAACGTCAGGCGGGGATATGTGCTGTGCATCACCAGCCTCCCAGGCGTGTGACCTGCACCGTCACCCAGGGTGTGGCATGGGTTTCGTGTTCTGCTGTCCTCATCATAAAATTCTTAATACATTGTTTTATCTTCACCTGAGGACTTTTTTTTTTTTTCATTGCTTTAGAGAAAGAGGAAGGGAGAAAGAGAAACGTGGATGTGAAAAGTGCCGTTTGGTCGCCTTCGGGACACACCCTAATCAGGCACGCAGGATCAACCCACCCCGAGGGGCGCCCTGACCAGGTATTGAACCCGCAGTCCTTCGGTTCCGGGGCTGCGCTCCAACTGAGCCTCATTGGCCAGGACAAAATTCTTTTTATTCTTTTTTTAAGATTTTAGTTTTATCTATTTCTAGGGAGAGGGGAAGGGAGGGAGAAAGAGAGGGAGAGAAACGTCAATGTGCAGTTGCCTCTCGCGCGCCCCCTACTGGGGACCTGGCCCACAACCCTGGCCTGTGCCCTGATTGGGAATCGAACCGGCGACCCCTTGGTCCACAGGCCAGCGCTCAGCCCACTGAGCCACACCAGCCACGGCCACCATTCTTCATGTGTTCCGAACAAGGTGCTCTGCATTTTCGTTTTGCTCTGGGACCCACTGCATGATCATGCAGTGGGTCCTGGGGCTATAAAACAGCAGAATAAAGAAATGGCTGGGTCTGGAGGGTTCCTCCAACCAGGGCCATCAGGGGTGGCCTCCCTGAGCAGGCGACATGGGAGCACAGACCTGAAGGAAGTGAGACAGGAGCTTCCTTGCAGAGACAACAGCAGGGAAACACCCTGAGAAGAAGGAAGTTCAGCCTCCAGCAACAAGACCAAGGAGAACAGGGTGGGAATGAGCAACGACGGGGAGAAGAGCTAAGGATAAGATCGGGGAAATAATGGGGGGACATTGTAAGGACATGGGATTTTAATGGAGATGGGTATCAATTAACTACAGCTGCCTAAAACAGCAATAAACATCTATGATCTCCCTTGGTTTCTGTGGGTCAGAAATTCGGGAGAGGCTTAAGCGGGGGTGGGGGGGAGGATGTCAACGGGGCATAATCATGCAAGGGCTTGGGAGAGGCAGGAAGCTGTTCCAGGTTGGCCCACTCACGTGACCGTCAAACTGTTGGCAGGAAGTTTCAGTTCCCCTCTGGCTCTTGGCCTAAGGCCTCGTTTCCTGGACTTGTGGACTTCTCCACAGAGTGGTTTCAATGACCTCTCGAATAACGGCAAGTTCCCCCAGAGCCCTCGTTCCAGAAGGAGCAAGGCGGAAGCCATGTGGCTTTGATGAACTAAGCCCTCGTTTTTGCTTTTGGTTACACAGCTCAGCCCTGCTGAGCGTGGAAGAGGCTACACGAGGCTGGGAATCCTAGAACAGGGGGCAGTGGCTGGGGGTCACCTTGGAGGCTGGCTCCTGAGGTGTGAATCCATTGCAGAGTTTTGAGCAGGATGATGATGGTGAGGGTGGTGATGAGGAGGATGGTGATGATGCAGGTACATGTGTGTTCGTGTGCATATGCATATGCCTGGATATACCTATGGATAGAGATATATGTGTATTAACATATAGTGTGCAACACATTGTATTATCATGTACAGTGTTTTTTACATGAGTAACACATGAAAATAGAGAGACAGCTCCCCCCAATCCTTTATATGTTTCCCTGTTTTATTGGGATATGATTGACAATCAAAAATCATATATATTTCGCCCTGGCTGGTGTAGCTCAGTGGGCTGAGCGCCAGCCTGTGAACCAAAAGGTGGCCGGTTCAATTCCCAGTCAGGGCACAGGCCTGGGTTGTGGGCCAGGTCCCCAGCGGGGGCATGTGAGAGGCAACTGATTGATGTATCTCTCACACATTTGATGTTTCTCGTCTTCTCTTTCTCCCTCCCTTCTCCCGTCTCTAAAAGTAAGTAAATAAAGTCTTTTAAAACAAAAGTCAGCTCTAGCTGGTGTGGCTCAGTGGACTGAGCACCGGCCTGTGAACCAAAGGGTCCCTGGTTCGATTCCCAGTCAGAGCACAGGCCTGGGTTGCGGGCCAGGTCCCCAGAAGAGGATGCGTGAAATGCAACCACACATTAATGTTTCTCTCTCTCTTTCTCTTTCTCTTCTCCTCTCTAAAAATAAATAAATAAATAAAATCTTTTAAAAAATTAAAAATCATATGTATTTAGATTGTCCAGTGTGATGATCTGGTGTATGTACACACTGTGAAATGATCACCACAATCAAGCTAGTCAACACATCCAGTATATCACATAGTTACCCTTTTCTGTGTGCGTAGTGAGAAAACTGGAGATCTACTCTCTTGGCAAATTTGAAATACACAATGTCCTATTATTAACTAAGGTCACCTTGCTGTGCATGACATCTTCACAGCTCGCTCAGCCTACAGCTGGAAGTGTGTGCTCTTTGACCAGCTTTTCCCCATTTTCCCCACTCCCAGCCTCTGGTAACCACTGTTTCACTCTTTGTTTCTACGACTTCGATATTCCTCTTGATCCCACGTATTAGTGATATTGTACATATTTGCCTTTCTCTGTCATTTTACCCAGCATAATGCCCTCTTGGTTTACCCTTGTTGTTGCAAGTGGCGATATTTTCTTCTTCCTCGTTTCTCAGTAAGATTTCAGTGCGTGATAAACCATACTGTCTTTAGCCGTTCATCAGCTGAGGGACACTTAGGTTCTTTCCATGTCTTGGCCCCTGTGAATAAGGCTGCAATAAACATGGTGGTGCAGGTGTCCCTTTATGATAGTGACTTCATTTCCTTTGGATATGTACCTGGAAGTGGAACCACTGGATCAAATAGTAGCTTCATTTTTAATGTTTAGAAGGATTTATTTATTTTTAGAGAGAGGGAAAGGGAGGGAGAAAGGGTGGGAAAGGAACATTGATGTGATAGAGAAACATTGATGAGGGTGACCAAACCCACAGCTCATGTATGTGCTCTGAACAGAAACCGAAATAGTGACCTTTCCGCTTAGCGGGATGAAGCCCAACCGAGCAAGCCACGGTGGTCAGGGCTCTGTTTGTAACTTTTTGAGGAACTTCCGTATCGTTTTCTGTGGAATTTACATTCTCACCAATAGTGTACAAGGGTTCCTTTTTCTCCACTGCCTCCCCCCAATCATTCAACTTATATATACATAGATATCCCTTTCCCTTCAAAATATGTCCATTCTGAATTTACTGCTTTATAACTAGATTTTCTGCTTCTGCTTCTTCTTCTGTTGAAGATTTTATTTATTTATTTTTAGACAGAGGGGAAGGGAGGGAGAAAGAGAAGGACAGAAACATATATGTGTGGTTGCCTCTTGCGCGCCCCCTACTGCGGACCTGGCTCGTGACCCAGACATGTGTCCTGACTGGGAATCGAACCAGCAACCCCGTGGTTCTCAGGCCAGTGCTCAATCCACTGAGCCACACCAGCCAGGGCATAACAGCTTTTCTTCTTAATAATTAGCCATGCAAAAAATGGCTTCTGTAGTGAGAGGCACACGTAGGGCATCTTGATTGTTCTACGTGGGAACTGACATCAACAGATTTTGGAAGCATAATTTTTTGGTACCTGGGCTGCTACTGATTGTTGGTCCTGGCAACTGCAGGGGGGAAAAAATTAGCCACGCAGCACCTTGAGAGACACAGACCCCACAGTGTCCCTGCAGCCTGTGAATGGGTAGTATGAGGAAACCACCCAGAAAGGCATTTTTTTTCATTGAATGTATTGAGGTGACATTGGTTAATAGAATTATATAGGTTTCAAGGTACAGTTCTCTACCGTATCATCCATATATTGCATTGTGTGTTCACCACCCCGAGTCAAGTTTCCTTCCATCACGGAAAGGTGTCTTCGAAGGCACACTTCTCCCACGTGCCAGAGCGTTGCAGTCCTCGGTCCGGGCGCTTCCGATGCAGGCAGTCTGGGCTGGGGCAGACGTTCTGCCTCCCTACCCAGTTCCCGTGTCTTCTGCTGGCTGCTGCTGGGCCACAGGCCACACCTGGGGCAAAATGATTTACTGCTGAATCCTCAACTGTGCATTCTGAAGGCTGTCTTGGAATCTATATTTTCACTGCATCCCCATGGTAATTTTTTTTTTTAAGATCTTATTTATTTAGTTTTTGAGAGAGGAGAAGGGAGAGAGAAAGAGAAGGAGAGAAACATCGATGTGCGGGAGGTACAACGATCGGTTGCCTCTCACGCAGCCCAACTGGGGAGCTGGCCTGCAACCCAGGCATGTGCCGTGACTGGGAATCGAACCTGTGATCCTTTGGTTTGCCGGCACTCTGTCCACTGAGCCACACCAGCCAGGACTCCCATGGAAATTCTTTATTCTCTCTCTCTCTCTTTCTTTCTCTCGCTCTCTCGCTCTCTTTTTGGTGGTAAAACATGCATAAAGTCACATTTACCATGTTAATGACTTTCAAGTGTGCAAATCAATGGCATTATGTATACGCATGATCCCCGAACTTTAACTGAAACGGAAACCGCATACCCGCTCTCACCTCCCCCAGCCTCTGGCCGTCACGAATCTGCCCTCCGTCCCCATGGATTTGCCCGTTCCGGATATTTCCTAGCAATATAATAAAAAATCATATATGACTTTTGGTGTCTGGCTCCTTGTAGCTTGTGTGACATCTTCCAGGTTCATCACCGCTACGCTCGGCCTCTGAACTGCCTCTCACCAGGCTGTCGGGAGGTGCGGAACCATCTGGATCCTGGGTGTGCAATGCAGCCCAGAACTTGACAGTCTCATGGCCCGTTGCAGCCCTCCCGTCAGCCTCTCTGCTCATCTGTAAAGTGGGGTAATAGCCCCTCCCTCCCAGGGCCACTTGGAAAGTGATTTGCATGTGCAAAGAGCTCAGTAACTATTAGTAATTGTCATTCCACCTGGTGGCTATGCTGTGTAGTTGATCCAACCGACCGTCTATTGTTGGACATTAAAGCTTTCCCTATTTTTCTGTTTTTTAAGCCATGCCACAACCCACATCTTCATAAATATTTTAACACTTGTCCAGTTATTTCCTTAGAATAAAAGCCCAGAAGTGGAATCGGTGGGTCAAACTTTTATCTGTGCTGTACGATGAAGTATTTCTGACGTGTAGGAAAAGAACAGATAGTGAATATATTGACCCCATGGTCTCCATCTCCTGGCTTAACAAACAAAAAACATGACAGATAACACTGTCCTGATTGCACGCCTTCTGCCCCACTCCTGGGGGTCACCACGAGGGCCCCCTCAGCTTTGTCACACCGTTGTACCTTTGTGCAGTTAGGTGTATACGCACACAGCACCTGTTGCCTGTGTTTTGAAACTTCTGCATTGGCCCCAGGCTGGTGTGGCTCAGGGGGCTGAGTGCCGGCCTGAACCTAAAGGTCACCGGTTCCATTCCCAGTCAGGACACGAGCCTGGGTTGGGGACCAGGTCCCCAGCAGCGGTGTGTGAGAGGCAACCACACATTGATGTTTCTCTCCCTCTCGTTCTCCCTCCCTTCTCCCTTCTCTATAAACAAACAAACAACGACAAAAACAAAAACTTCAGCATTGGACTCGGCAGCCTCCTGCCCCTAGCAGCATGTGCTGTGGGTGGTCCACGTCACTGTATGCAGTGACCGTGCATTCTTTCACTGCTCTATGGTGTCCCCTGCTGAACACGCGGGGATCCACCAAGCCGTTCTTCATGCAATGGACTTTTAAGCCTTAAGCCATTTCCAGCGTTTACGAACGCTGCTGTCGCGAGCAGTCGTGGGCTTATCTTTTTGTTCACATTTGTGAGAGTTTCTCTGCAGCGCACCCCTGCGAGTCGAAGGGCTAAAGCTTAAGACTCGCACTTGCTGATAGGACTTTTCCGGACAGCTCAGCTTTGTGCAGAGTCCTTTCTGCTGGCCGGCTCCCTCTCCCTGCCTCAGGCTGCTTCTCTCCTCTGGAGCTGCAGCCATTCTGTGGCTGGGGGTGGGGTGCCTGGGTTTGGATGTGTCTCAGAGCCACGGGAAGTCCCAACCGAGGAAGGAACAGTATAAACCGAAGATGGGAGGCTGGAAGCTGGGATGAAGGACACCTGGGAAGGTGTTAAGGCGGACCCCTCAGAGAGGGAGCAATGTGGTCTTTGTTTCATAGTTGAGCGCCTGAGGCCCAGAGAGGGCAAGCCACTTCCCTAATATCACAGAGCGAGGGCACAGAGAGACCGCCTACTCCGTGCAGGATATATAGCGGTCAATCAAACAAAGGCCGCCTGCCCCAAGTGCGGAGCTTATTATTCTGGGCTTAATTATGATGCATTGCTAATTATGTTTGCCTCTCCGATTGGAGCAGGGAGGAGGGGTGATACTAATTGGGGAGGGGGGTTGCCTCTTGGGAAGGTGCCATGAGTCAGGGCTTTCTCCAAAGCTTTTCTGTCTCCCTCATCCCGACCAGTTCACCCACAGAGTATTATTGTGGGTACTCCCGAAATTAAATGGGGGCATTTCGGGGAGAGAAGGTCGTCCGAGAGAGAGAATGAAAACCCATTGTACCCGGGCTGGGTTGTCAATAAAGTTTTGTCGCCTTGGCAACCGCAGGCCTCTCTGGGCGGGGCACAGGGGTGCGCGCGCATTCACCCCGCCTGTCCTCCCTTGCTTTCTGTCCCTGGTGGCTGAAGGTTTCACCAGAGTAAAAGAATAGAGAGGTCGCGACTTGTGGTGACGGGCGGAGACCTCAGCCAATGGGAGCATGATCCTTTCCAAGGCAAGCTAACCACATACAAGTCCTGGAGCAGGCGAAGTCCGCCTTCTTTCCACTTGGACCCGAATAACCTGACCCAAACCCGAGTTATGGCGTTTTGGGCCAATGACGGCGCCGACTTCGGTCTGTGGGCGGGGATACGTCTCCATGGCACCGTCGGAAGGACAACGGCGGGAACCAACCGTAGCAGTTGGCGGCGCAGAGGGGCAGCGCGGGCGTGGCGGGGTTTTGTGGGGGCAATTGACGGGGTTTTATGGGGATGGGCGGGGAGGCAGGGTGCAGCTTGGCCAATGGGAGAGCCGCAAGCGCCGCAGCAAGTGAAGAGTGGCGGCGGCGCTGGCCAATGGTAGGCTTCGGTGGCCGTGGCGGGGCGGGTCCGGTGGGGCAGACGGGAGGCGCGGCGACCGAGACTGAGGATTGCTGGAAGAGGCAGTGGGAGGTAGTACCGGCGGCAGCGGCGCGGGCGCCTGAGGAGGAGGAGAAGCGGGTGAGGGGCGGCGCGGGGCCCGACGTCTGAGTCCCCTCTCGGCCCCCGCCCCGCGCTGCCTTGGCTCCCGGTCGCCCCCAGCCCCGACTGTCCCCTGCCCGGCCCGGCCCCTCGTGTCCTGGCGCCCAAGTCTCCCGGCCGCTCGGCGAGCGTCCTGTGGCTGTCGGCTCGCAGTCGTCCCTGTGCTTCCTTACCAGGCCCCTCCCGCACCCCGTGCCTTCCCTGAGCCCCCTCACGCTCCAGGCCCTTCCCTGGACCCCCACTCCTTTCCCCTGCACGCTCACCGCCTACTCAGGTCCCTGGAGCCGCCAGCCTGCCCCAGATCCCCGTCTGCTTCCCCCAGTTCGTCCCTGGACCTTCTCTGCCTACCCAGGGCCATGCCTGGACTCCGGGCTCTGTCCTCGCGGCCTTCCCACGCTCCTCCCGGGGATCCCCAGGACTTCCTCAGCCCCAGTGCTTCTCCAAGCCCCTAGGCTCCTCTCTACCGTCTCAGGACCCTCCCTGGACCTCCACGCCCTACTCTGCTTTCTCTCCGCGCACCCCAGGTCTCCCGTCTGGCTTTCCTGGCTCCTCCTTGGACCCCCGCAGCCCTCTCTGTCCCCCCCTTGCCCCTGCCCCCGCTCCCCTCCGCGCGGCCTCGATTTGGTCTTTACCCACTTGCCCCTCTGCAGCTTCCGCTCCTCCCAGCGCCCTCCTGCAGCGCGCCCTCCTCATTTACCCCCAGCCTCCCAGCCTTTGCCAGACCCCCTTTCCCAGCCGCTCAGCTCTCGATCTCTGTTCAGCTCTCCCTTGTCGTCCCCGGCCGACTCTCCCTGAAGCCCCAGCAGGGCACCCACACCACGAATCCAGGACAAGGGTTAGGGGTCTTGTTTTGTTTCGTTGTGCTAATCCCATTCTTTCTCCTCTTTTTATGGATCTGTTCTGCCTCCCCATACCGTTCTTTCTCCCCCCCACCCCCGCCCCCGCTTTGTCCTCTGAGCCCTCCCTCCCCTGGAATCCTTGGAGAGGGAGCAGGTGCTGGGATCCCTCCTCCACTTCTCTCCCCACCCCCCCTCCAGGCTGCCTGGGGCTTCACCCAGGGCCTCCCGACGACTCCCGTGGCTGCCGGGGAGGGGACGTGGAGACTGTGGGTGGATGGAGGGATAACCTTTGACGTGGGGGGGACCAGAGGTGGAGCTGAGCGTCTTGATTTGGGGCTCCCACAGGGCTAAGCCTTTAGGGTCATCCCAGACTCTCGGCGATCATAATCAGCCGTGTGTGTGTGTGTGTGTGTGTGTGTGTGTGTGTTGGGGGCTTTGTGTCTGCACTCCAGAGCACGGGGACAGGGAGATACCAGTGAAGGGGGCTGGCACTTGTCTGGGGGGCTTCCCCACTGTCGGAAGAACTTGTTGCGTGCGTTTCACCTGCCCTCAGAGCCCCGTGAAGTCACTGTTGCTTTTCTCCCCAATGTATAGATGAGGAGGCTGAAGGGCTTGACAGGGCCCCACACAGCTCCTAAGTGGCTCAGAGCAAGCGCAGGCCCTCCCCGCTCTCAGCCGGAGGCAGCATGGTCTGTGGGGCACCATGGGGCCTGACAGAGTGACAGCCAGGGAACTGTGTGAGAACGACGACCTGGCCACCAGCCTGGTCCTGGACCCCTACCTGGGCTTCCGCACCCATAAGATGAACGTCAGGTGAGGCTGCCTGGGGGGAGGGCGGACTCAGGGCTGGGCTTCCTTCCCTTGCACCGCAGCCCCCTGTGCGGGTGGGGGCGGGGCCCGGGAAGGCCCGGAGGGGATAGGCCAAGGCCCTGGGACCCAGGCATGCCCTCTCCCCCAGCCCTGTGCCCCCCCTGCGGCGACAGCACCACCTGCGCTCAGCGCTGGAGGCTTTCCTGAGGCAGCGGGACCTGGAGGCTGCGTACCGGGCCCTGACGCTGGGAGGCTGGATGACCCACTACTTCCAGAGCCGGGGCCCGCGGCAGGAGGCTGCCCTCAAGACCCACGTGAGGGCGCCCTTCCCTTCCCCACTCACCCGCGTGTTCTCTCCCCTCACCTCGGAGCCCCTGGCACTGTGCCCCTCAGCGCAGCCCTCGGGGGCTCTCTGACTTCCTAGCTATTGATTGGGACCGTCTGAGACGGGGCTCAGAGAATCCTAGGAGAGGAGAGTTGGCGGGCCCTCTGAGATGGAGTCCAACCTCTTCATTTGACAGATGAAGAAACTGAGGCCCCGAGAGGGGAAGTGAGTTCCCCGGGACCACACAGCGAGTCAGTGGCAGAACAGGACTAGCGCCCAGGAGAGAGAGGGCCGAGGCCGGCCCTGCCCCACCACCTCACCCTGCCCACCCCCTCACTCCCCCAGATCTATCGCTACCTCCGCGCCTTCCTGCCTGAAAGCGGCTTTACCATCCTGCCCTGTACCCGCTATTCCATGGAGAGAAACGGAGCCAAGATTGTGTCCACCCGAGCTTGGTAAGAGGGCAGAACTCCTGATGGGAGGCTCCGCGGGGCTGCTGGGGAGACCTCTGTCCCTTCCAGGGGAGGAGGCGGAGGAGGAGAGATGTCCAGTGTTCCTGCCGAGAAGGAGGCGGGGGTCTGGTTCTGAACACCGCAGCCCTGCTGGGGGATGAGCCCACCCCACCACGCAGCCCCGGGGTTCGTGGGGCTGGCCGCGCCCCACAGGCCAGGCCTGGCGCCCAGGACTGTGCCATCCTTTCCTTGACTTTGACCCGAGCCCGGACCTGTAGCAGGTGCCGCCGGGCAGGTATGGGGCAGGACAGTGAGCAAGCAGGTCGGGCCCTGACGGCGGCCATGGTAGCCGAGGGGACCCGCAGATACCGACCACAGCTGCTCCGAGCTTCAGGAGCCGGCCAAGGACTTTTGAGTGTTCAGGGGGACCAGGCTTTAAGCTGGAACCCAGGCGATGAGCTGGAGGGGCTGGCGAAGAGGGACTGTTAGTGGCTAGCCTGGTGTTGAGTCCAGGCAGGAGGGAGTCCCAGAGAAGCTAGAGGCAGAGAGAGAGGGCGCCCTTGTGGGCCGCGTCTGGATGACTTGCAGCAGCCGGGCAGGTGTAGCGATTTGGCAGGCGGACTGCGCCGTCCTGGCGATGGTGGTCAGCGCGGCGCTGCTGCTCACAGACTGCGGCCTGGCTTCTCGGTAGGAAGAAGAACGAGAAGTTGGAGCTGCTGGTGGGGTGCATCGCGGAGCTGCGGGAGGCCGACGAGGGGCTGCTGCGGGCGGGTGAGAACGACTTCAGCATCATGTACTCCACCCGCAAGCGCAGCGCGCAGCTGTGGCTCGGCCCCGCCGCCTTTATCAACCATGGTGCGTGGGGCGGGGTCTGGGAGGGGCTGGTCTGCGCGGGGGCGGGGCCTGGAAGGGGTGACGCCCCGCCCTGCTCGTTCACAGTCTCTTCTCTTCCCCTGCCCCCATCCTCCACTGTCTCCAGACTGCAAACCCAACTGCAAGGTGAGACCCGGGACCCCGGAGGGGTGACCACGTGGGAAATGAGAAGGGGAGGGCTTTGCCATCAGTGACTAGTCCGAATCTGTCCCTGGAAACTGTCCACGGTGTCCCTACCTGACAAAGCCGGTTCCCACCCCCACAGGTGGCGGTGTGCCTGTGGCTGTTAGAGGAGGAAGCGGTTTTGGCTAGAGTCACAGTGGGACACGGGTTGCCACCCGCTGGCCCTATTCTTCGCTCTCTGAACTGAGGCGGGGGCTGGGCCAGTTGAGGGGAGGGGCGTGCGGTGGCTGGAGTCAGGAAGGGACCCTGAGTCTGCACCCTGGGCTTTGTGGGGAGGTGCTCACGGGCCGCACGGCGTGCAGTGGTGGCGGCAGGAGCGGGGGCTGAGTGGTCCGGGGTGAGGCCAGAGGCCCTGCGGGGGGCGGGGAGGACGGGGACCCCTGGGAGGCGGGCAGGGGAGCCCAGGGGAGTGGGGAATGGAGCACAGATAGACCCTTGGGTGCTGCCTGCCAAGTGCGGGCCTGGCCCTGTGTCTGCAGGAGCCCCGAGGCGTGGCAGGGGGCCTGGGGCTCTCGAGTTAGAGCTAGATGGGAGTCCTGGCTCAGTCCGTCCTGCACCCTGGTTTCTCAGGTGGGAGACCATGAGAACTTGCCTCCTGGCTGCTTGTAAGGGTGAGGTGCGCGGTGCTCACTGACATTTGTCGAAAGTGTTCCTGGGATTCCAAAGACCCCCTTTCGGGGGTGGATTTCGGGGTGGTTGACGTGAGGCCCTGGTCTGGCCCTAGGCACAGATGCCGGGGCAGAAGGGAAAACAAGGCAAGGCTCCGTGAGAGGCTCCATGCCAAGGCAGGTGACTGCCACCTGGGGCACAGGAGCAGGCATTGAAGGAGGAGTAGGGTTTTCCTAGGTGTTTTAGACAAACGAGCATGTTGTCACACCGGAGGGCCCGGAGGAGTGACAGGCAAGATGACTCAAGTCTGTTCTGCATGAGCTCAGGTCTGCCCCATGGGAGCACCCGCACCGTGAGTTAGGGCGCGGGGTTTTTAGGTGTCCTGGCAGCTGGTGAGCTGCGTCCTCAGCAGGAAGGGGAGGGGCCAGAGGCAGAGTGGCCACGGAAAGGCTGGTGTGTAACCTAGTTTGTAACTGAGCAAGAGGTGATGAGGGCTGGCTCCAGACAGGGTCTCGAGGACGGAGAAAAACTGGGACACAAGACACCGTGCTCTCAGGAGGCACCGGCCAGTTGGCCTGGGGCCAGGCGGGCGGCCAGGGCACTCCCAGGCTGTGTCAGTCTAGAGCGGATGGACGGTGGATGGGGGTCATGCCGCTCCCCAGCGGGCATCTCAGAGGCAGGCGCAGGCAGGTAGGGGCCGTGGGGGGCAGCAGCCCTGGATGGGGACTGTGGCGCTGGACACAGGCCCCCAGGAAGAGGGGTGGCTGCAAGGGTGCAGGCTGGCAGGGAGCGGGTTGGGGCCCGAGGGGCGGGGCTTGGCTGTAGAAGCCAGGGCAAGCGTGCCAGAGGGCGAGGCCCACTGTGCACTGCCAGGGTGGTGGTAGAGCGTCCTCCCGCAGGAGGGGAGGAAGCCACAGGCGGCAGATGGTCGGAGACTGGGTGAGGCGGCAGGCCCTGCGCAGAGCTGCCTCCCCCCAGAGGCTCACGGCCACTGCCGGTCCCAGGGGAGGACCCTCGGGGCCAGGGCGCCCCGGCGGGTCAGGGCGCTGAGCGGCCTGGCCCGCAGTTTGTGCCCGCAGATGGGAACGCAGCCTGCGTGAAGGTGCTGCGGGACATCGAGCCGGGGGACGAGGTGACCTGTTTCTACGGTGAAGGCTTCTTTGGTGAAAAGAATGAGCACTGTGAATGCTACACCTGCGAGAGGTGGGCACCGCGGGCGGTGAGGGGTGGGCGGGCAGGAGGGAAGCGGATGTCCGTGAACCCGGAAGTGCAACCTCAGGGCTGATATCCCTTAGGAAAGGGGAGGGGGCTTTCCGCCTGCGGCCCCGGGAGCCCTTGCCGCCGCGGCCCCTGGACAAGTACCAGCTCCGGGAGACCAAGCGGAGGCTGCTGCAGAGGTTGGGCGGCGGCCGGCTGAGCCCGAGGCCCTGTGCCCACCGGTTCCCTCTGCGTCAGGACCCGTTCTGCGGTGAGCACAAGGCAGGGACCCCATCTTGTCAGCTTGTGCCTATCAGCTGCTCCGGGTCCTCGGGGTCCTCAGCCGTCGCCTGCACTCTGTCCTGTTCCTGGGCATCGCATGGGGTTGGGGGTGGTCGGAGCAGGCGTTGTCCCGCTTTGCAGAGGGCCTGCTCACTAACCGCCCCCCCCCTCCACAGCCGCCTGCCAGCCCCTGCGACCCCCGCCCTGCGGCACCAGCCCCGACGCCTCGCCCCTCTGGCTCCAGTGGCTGCCGCAGCCCCAGCTCTGGGTGCGTCCCCGGAGACGCCGCCGCCCCCAGCCCCGGCGGTCCCCCACACCCCCGCTTCTCCGTGCGGCTCGCGTCTCCCTGCACCGGTGGGGAGGCTGTGGCCCCCGCTGCTGCCTGCAGGCGGAGGCTGCGGTGGCCCTGGACCAGGCCCCCCGCGCCCGCTGGACCCCCCAGCAGGACTGGCGCTGGGCCCGGCGTTACGGGCTGCCTTATGTGTTGCGTGTGGACCTGAGCCGCGTGGTCCCAGCCCCGCCTGCCACTCCCGCCCCGACCCCTGCCCCCGCGGGGACCCCAGGCCCTGTCTCCATCGCCAAGCAGGCCCTCGCCTTCGCGCCCTTCTCCCCACCCAAGCGCCTGCGGCTGGTGGTCAGCCATGGCTCCATCGACCTGGATGTCAACAGTTAGGGGCTGTGATGGGCTGGACAGGGCACCCTCCGCGTCCCCCAGCCCCTCACTGACCTCCAGAAGGAGCTCTTGGACCTCTACGAGGGAGCTGACCCTTGACCCCAGCACAGCTCTGACCCCTTGGCGGGGCTGCTTTGGACATCCCCAGGGATCAGACCCCTGACCCTTTGTGACTGCTGACCCCTGAGCCACCCCAACCCCAGCAGGGAGCCCTGGCCGTTGCTGCCCTCTGCACCCCCAGCCTCAGGACTGAAGAAGCCGGTCCCTTTCCCGCCACCTTCTCCTGCCCAGGGAGCAAAGCCATAGGGAGTGGAGGCCACCCCTGGCGTCTCCCCAGAAGCCCAGGCCTCGGGAGGAGGGGAACTGACTTGGGGGCGGCCGCTTCTGGAGACTGCCCCGTGGGGGGGGGTGCTCTCAGCTCTGCGATGGTCTGAGGTGGGGGACAAGGTGGGGGGCGTCCACGCGTCCTCACCGCCCCACAGGTCTCAGGGAGGCCGGGTGTGACCTCATCTTTCTCATGGTGCTATCCCTGGTGCTACTGGGGTGTGGGGGCTCCCTCCCCCCACACCAGAATGGGGTATGTTGGGGAATTGGAAGCACTTGAACTTTTTATTTTATTAAAACCTTGTTATAAGCATAATCCTTGGAAGCCTTTCATGTTGGGGTTGTTTTTTTTTTTTTAAATTTTATTTATTTGTAGAGAGACTAGAAGGGAAGGAGAGAGGGACAGAAACATCCATGTGTGGTTGCCTCTCGTGTGCCCCCCCACTGGTGGCCTGGCCCACAACCCAGGCCTGTGCCCCGACTGCGCGTGGTACTGGCAACCTTTTGGTTCACAGGCCGGCTCTCAATCCACTGAGCCAGGCCGGCCGGGGCAGAAGCCTCTCGTTTTGATCCATGTTTGGAGGGGATGTTCATCAGGGGGGTCAGACCCTCGGCCCGGGCCCAGAGGGGCGGCCAGGCCTGGGGCCCTGGGGGCCCTGGGAATGAGGAGGGGTGGTGACTCCGAGGGCGGAGGCCGGAATCACATCCGCCTGCAAACCCCGCGGAGAAGGGAGGCTGCAGGGCCCCTCCCTGCAGGAGGGACTTCTCCCCATTCTCCAGATGAGCCGATGGGTCCCGCAAGGTGGGCCCAGCCTGACGCCCCTCTCGCACCTCACCGGTGTCATCCCGGTGGGCCTGGCTCTGTGGGACCCCAGGATCCTCTCAGGGGACTTCAGGTCCAGTTCAGGGTCTGGATCTCGCCCCTTGTCTCTGAGTTACAGAGGGAAATACTAACAGCTGGCAATTAGCGAGGGCTTCCTGGCCTCGCAGAGGGCGGGCCACTGGCCCCCATCCGTCTCGTCCACAGTGGCCGACCTTGCAGAAACCCCCCTGGAGGCTGCAGGGGCCAGGCGGTGCGCCTGAGGGACCCTGGGGACCTTGGAGAGGGGAAAGGAGCCAACGGTGAGGCCTCAGGAAGACTGCGGTGATTCAGAGTAGATAACTTCTTTTACTTTGTAATTCATTTTATTTATTTGCAACCTGGTTCATGCTTTTCAGAGTGAGAAAATGTGTCTGTCTTCCATGAAAATTCTACTGAACTGTGTTAGTTTTCTCTGTGATGTTATAAAAATGAGGAGAGCCTTGCCCTGGCTGGTGTGGCTCAGTGGACTGAGCACTGGTTCAGAACCAAAAGGGTTGCTGGTTCCATTCCCAGTCAGGACACACGCCTGGGTGTCGGGCCAGGTCCCCAGTGGGTGGGGTGGGGTGGGGGGGGGTGGGGGGGGGGGGGGGGGCGGTGCGAGAAGCAACCATGCATTGATGTTTCTCTCCCTCTCTTCCTCCCTTCCCCTCTCTCTGAGAAAAAAAAGATAAGGAGAGCCTTGAACGATGTGGCTCTGTTGGTCAGGCATCATCCTGCAAAGCAAAAGGTCACAGGTTCAATTCCCAGGCTGGGCACATGCCTGCATGGCAGGTTTGGTCCTGGTCGGGGCACCTACCAGAGGCAACTAACTGATCCAATCGATTTTTTTCTCTCACATGGATGTTTCTCTCTCCCTCCCTTCCCCTATCTCTAAAAATAAATAAGTTTAAAAATAAAAAATGCTCCCTGGCTGGTGTGGCTCGGTGGACTGAGTGCCAGACTGCAAACCAAAGGGTTGCCGGTTGGATTGCCTGTCAGGGCACATGCCTGGTTGGCACGCCAGGCCCCCAGTAGGGGGCGTGCAAGAGCAACTGATCGATGCTCTCCCTCCTCCCCTCTCTAAAAATAAATAAATAAATAAATTTTTTTTAAAATGAGAGAGGGGGACCTCCCAGTCAGCAAGTGTGGGGGAGGGGGGAGAATAAGGAGAGATGGCCAACAGGACACTCAGTAAAGGACTTGTCCCTCTGAACAAGCTGAATTCAAGCCATCACCATGGCTTCTAGACAAAGGTGACAGCGCAGCAAGGACCCTTGGCCGGGAAGGGCATGAGGCTTTCACAAGCCCCTGAAATCCCATTTTATTGGAAGTACCTGCACATTCACATGCACGTTCTGGGAGGAGAGGGTGTAGAGCCTTTGTCCAATTCTCACAAGTGTCTGGAGCCCCAAGACAGGTTAGAAACCAGCCTTAGGCACCCCCCCCCCACCCTGGCATGGGGCTGCCACCATGAGCAGCTGATTCTACAGTGAGGAGCAGCCTGCCTGGCCTCCGCTCACTAGATGCCAGTGGCACCCCCTCCGTTGTGACAAAAATGTCTCCAGACACGGCCCCATGTCCCCCTGGGGGCCACAGCCAGCCCCCGGCGGAGAAGCCCTGGGCTGGAGGGACAGGGTGGCCGGAGGGAAGACCTCCAGCACACTCGGGGGACAGCGATGCTTCCTGGTGTCCGTCTTCAGGACAGTGGCGCCTACCAGGATGATGCCCTTACAAACAGCGTCTGCCCCGGGGCCCCACAGCTTGGGAGGCCACTGGGTGGGTGGCACCCGGCCGCGATGAGGGCCAGGCGTTCCATGTCGGATTCCATGAGCTGGCAGAGCCTCAGCAGCAGGAGCCCAGCTTGGTGGCCGGAGCCCAGGGGGAGGGGAGTGTCGAGGGTCAGGTGGGTCAAGGTCAGTGAGAACCCCATCAGACACGTGGCGACCAGAGCAAGGGAACCCGGGAAGGTGGCTGGGAGGCAAGTGCAGGAGGGCACCAACGGAAACCAATACTCCTGGCGACAGGTCGACCCAAGCCTCAACTCCGTGTCTCCTCCTGGGGGTGCTCTCTGACCCTTTTACGCTGTACACGGCGTCCAAGAGCTCCAGGACCCTCTTGATGGGGTCGGTCATCCTGGGTCGGCCACCCAGGGGACTCCCGCTATCCAGTGCGGTGTTGGGCACCAGAACTGGCCACGCTGATGTTGAGTGCCTCGGGTCGTTTACGTAGACAGAGGCGCCCCCCGCCCCCTGCAAGGCCACACACCCACAGCATCATCCTCCCCCTCCCCCAGTGCCTGGGGAACACATTTTACAGGAACGGGCCATGGGGCAGGGGCTGAGGGACTCTAATGGAGGTCACGTGGCTGATAAGTTGCAGAGCTGGGACTCGAACCCAGTCACAGAGATCATCCAGGCTCTGGTGTGATGGGCTGGGGAAGAGGCAGACACCAGGGAGGCTGGGACAGCGCCCTCTGTGGACCAAGGGACAGCTAGCTGCTGGGGGGAAGGAGAAGGAAGGGCGGGCAGGTGCCTGGAGGGTTCGAGGGTTCATGGAGCAAAGGGCACCGGGCAGCTGAGTGGGCAGGGGTTTTGTGATGCTGACCAGGAAGCACCTGGAAGTTTAGATTAGGAGGAAGGAGCTGGTTCTGAAAGAGGGAGGGAGAGGGAGGCTGGGGGAGGCTGGGGGGATGGGCTCTGGAGGAGGAGGAGGAGTGGGGGAGGGGGCGGAGAGCAGGGATGCAAGGGGGGGTTGGGGGAGGGACCAAGTTGCTTGCCCTCGGTTTCCTCTGACCTGGGAGGCTTCTAGGCACAGAGGCTGGCATTGGGGGCTCAGGACGTGGCAGGCAAAGCCGACCGAGCTGCCGTGGAGAGGTGCTCAGAGCCAGCGATTAGGGCTGAGTTTGCGGTGGTGTCGGACCCCTCGGCCAGAGGCCTGCCCTCCAGGCCCTCCCTCAGGCATCCAGCAGGCAGCGGTGGCCACACGGAAAACAGGAATATAAAAATGTCCCCGCAGAGGTCAAGTGGTCAAGGGACGGTGGCAGAGGGTGCCAGGCCTGAGAGGGAAGGAAGGGAGAAGGCTGGGAGGGGCTGCTGGCCAACGGGGCCAAACGTGCTCCAGGCAGGTGCTCCGGTGAGGTCAAGAGGCTGTCCGTGGCTGCACAGGTGTCAGCCCTGGGCCCGGCGCCACCTGAATGACCTCACCAAGTGCTCAAACAGCCGTCATCCCGTCCTGTGACTCAGAGCTACCTGGCCTGCGTGGTACCACTGCTTGCTTCCTTCCTGCAGCCGTGCAGCCTCCGTGCGGGGTGGGGGTGCGGGAGGCTCCTGGGAGGTCCCCTCTTGTAGCTTCCAGGTCTGTGTGGGCCAGGGCTCCCCTTATGCCCTCCTTCTGCCGCCTCCCTGCCTCTCAGGGGCAGTGTCCTGGAGAAGGTCCTTGCGGGGCCAAGGTCTTGGGGTGGAGCCATCTTGGAGGTGGCACATCTGGGGTGTGTCCTGGGTGGGGTGATGAGAACATCCAGGGGGTGTGGGGACAGGATGGAGCCCATCCTCCTCTGAGCTCACCCAGCCCTTCCCGCTGTCCCTGCAGGATCGCGGTACTGCACTACCTGCTTCACAGCTGGGGAAGCTGAGTGCATGCAGGTCAACGGGCTCGCCCAAGGTCATCTAGAAAGTAGTCATGATTAGTAACAGCTACCTTCGAACTCCAGCGTGGACCAGGGCCCCATGAGACAGCGGCAGGCTGGGGGACCTGGCTGCCCAAGGAGGAGAGAGCTTTAGGCAGCAGCGGTAGGATCCAATCCTTCCGTGCCCAGGTACCACAGCTGGCTGTCTGGGGCAGGACTAACGCCCCGCGCTTGGTCAAGGGTCCCTCCTCAGCCTGGGGAGGTGGCTGGAGAGGTGACATTTTGAGGGCTGCCTGGAATCAGAAGAAATCTCAGCAGTGTCGCCTCAGAGCCTGGCCGAGGGTAGGCCCAGCGCCTGATGGGTCTGTGCAGGGGGGTGGGGGGGTTGAGTGACATGTCTGGAGAGGGGTTGCCCTGTTTCATTAGAGAACAGAGGAGAAGGCTGCTCCTGGCTGTGGGGCAGAGGCCAGCTGTGGGGAAGGCTCACCTGTCAGGACTGAGCTGTGCTGAGGGGGACACGGAGTCACATGGGCGCAGAGGACTGACGGAGGATGGCGTAGAGCCGGGAAGGGGTTCGGAGCAGAAGACGGAGGGATGGGGGTCAGTGCTGGGTGGTCCAAAAATGAACCTCCTCAGGGCTTGGGATGGGATGGGATGGGCCGGGATGGACTGGGATAGAGGGGCAGAGAGCCTGGGAGGGGTTTGGGGGGTGTTCCAGGTAAGAGGATCCTGAGGAAGGAGGAGGATCCCCGTGACAGGTAGATTTGGGAATTGAGAGGCAGGAGCACCCTGGAGCCATCCTGGCGGGCAAATGCTGGCATCCAGAGAGCCTAAGGTAACCCTGGGCTGGCCTACGGGCGGGAAGGGAGCCCAGATGGAGCACAGCCCTCCCCGCCCCACTCCATCTTCAGGACTGTAGTGTTGACTCCAGGGCACAGGCCAGGGAAACCACGACCCCACGGCACATGGGGCAGACATTAAGAAGAAACAGAGGCAACAAAATAGCTTTATTTGGGGATTTAGAGACAGAGGGTGGGGAGCCGGGGCGGGGTCTCCGGGAAACGAGGTGATGGGGGCCCCTGGGGCCGGTCCCTCGGAGGAGCCGCGAGCTCAGACCCTCAGATTTTGCCCGCGAAGGTCCCCGAATGAATCTGCTCGGTCCAGCGCTCCACCTGGGTCGGGGCGGGAGGGAGGCCGGGGCGCAGGCTCAGCTCGGCCGGGCGCCCCCTGCAGCCCTGGTCCGCCCGGCCGGCCCGCGCCCCCCGGCCGGCTCACCCAGCTGATGGGGCACAGCGAGTGGAACACGCGGAAGAAATACTCGCAGGGCTCCGCGCTCTTCCCGCGGCGGTTCATCTTCTTCACGCAGCGGTGGTAGTCTGCCGAGCACACCGCGCGGTGGGCGGGGCCGCGCCTCACGCCCCGCCCCGTCCAGGTCCCGCCCCCCTCTCGACCGCACCCCCGTCTTTTCACTCCAGGGCAAGCCCCGCCCCTTTGTGGTCTGTCCCTACCCACTCCACCGCAGGCTCTGCCCCGTGGGCCCGCCCCACCCGCTCCAGATCAGGCCCCGCCCCTGCCGGCCACACCCCGGCTCTCCTTTTCCCGCCCCTACACCACTTGGTCACATGCTTCCAGAATAGGCCCCGCCTCTCCAAGATGCGGTCCCACCTCTTCCCTGCCAGAACCCCTTTCCCTCGTCCCACCCCACCTCTCCAGAATAGGCCCCGCCCACTAACGACCAGGCCTCACCCCTCGGTGGTAGGTCCTACTCCCTTCCTGGCCAGGCCCCAACTCCTTCTCTACCTCATCCCTCCACAGCTTCGACCCCGCCCACCCTAGACTAGTCCCCGCCTTTCCCTCCATCGCCCCGCCCTCCACGAACCGACCCGCCCCCTCCACACCAGGCCCCGCCCATTGGGTAGTCCCCGCCCCTTTGCGGTGGTTCGCCCCGCCTCCCGTTCCAACGGTCTCCACCCCCAAGGCCCCTCTCGAGTCCTCAGGAGTTGGGGTGCGCCCCTTCCTGCCTCCCCGTCTCACCCTGCTCCCTCCCTCTTCCCTCGAGGGCTCACCCAGGAAGTTCTGGTAGCAGTTGCGGGTTTGGTTCTGGTTGGGGAAGCGCGGGTCGAAGGGCGGCGTGGGCCATGGCCCCTTGGGGGACTTCTTGTCGAACATTCACTGAGTCAGCAACGCCTCAGGGCAGGAAGGACTCCTTACCTGACCCCCACCCCGAAACGCAGCCCCCGTTCCACCCGTCCCGTCCTCTCTAGGCTGATGTCGGCGCGTCACTGTGCTTGTGGCTCCGTCCGGGGTGCCCCTCGTTTCTGCGTCTCGAGGGTCTCCGCGCAGGGAAACCACGACCCCACGGCCGCATTGGCTGGGACCCTGGAACCGCAGCCAATGAGAGCCGCCGCGCTGCCGAAAACGTTCTGGGACGCGAGGCGAGGTCGCCGGAGACCCCTCCTCCCTCGGCCCCCTTCGCCCTCCAGCCCGACGCCCGGTCCTCGGGCCCCAGTGCGCGCGCACAGGCACCCAGGCTCGACTTCTGCCGAGTCTCAGACTCAGGCTTTTAATCTCTGCGAAGCTGGGCCACCCTGCAGGTTCTCCCCAGGCCAGCCCCCCGCCCCCCAATATATAAATTTATAGATAGCTCTGGTCTCTGCCGGAGAGCGAGCTCCCCCCTCCCGGCCTGCTCAGCACCCTGCTTCTTACAGAAGAGGTGCAAGGCGCCTGGGGCCTGCGGGGAAGAGCAAAGAGCGTGGGTGGTGTTCGAGCGCCTGCGCTCAGTGCCAGGTGTAAGGCGGGTCTGTGACTGTCAGGGATACCTGGACACGCTGGGCTCTTCCGTATATTTTAGCTAGCGACCGAGGTTGAGTCCCCGCATCTTGCTACTGAAGGTTCTGGGAAGGGTGCTTGCTGGAGAGAGAGCAGTGCGCGCTCAGTCAACACGTGTTGAACGGAGTCGTTCCTGCTCCCGCGCCGGACAAGCCCCCCAACCCCCTCCACCGTCCTCCCCGCCCCCGTGACCCTCGCAGGTTTCTCGCCCTCTTGCCCCGCAAATATCAGACCTGACCCTGGATTCTTCACCCCAACATCCAAATGGACGAATATCTCTTCCTCTTAAGAAATGCCTACTTAGCCCATGACCAACACCTGTCCTTATCCCTTCTTCCCTTCCAGCAAACTGCTTGGACAGAGCTGGTCTCTGATTACCCTCCTTGCGTGAATACGTGGAGTTGGAAAATACGCATGACGTAAAATTTGCCATTGTAACCATTTGAGAGTGGCATTGCATTCACAGTGTCCTGCAACCACGGCCTCTATCTAGGTCCAGAGCATTTTCATGACCCCAAAATAAAACCCCATGCCGGTGACGCAGGCCCTCCCCATTCTCCCCGCCCCCACCTCGGCCCTGGGTCACCATGAACCTCCCTTCTGCGTCTGGATTTGCCTGTTCGGGGCATTTTGCATACATGGAATCAGGCACTGCAGAGCTGGCATCTGTGCCTGGCTCCTTTCTCTGAGTGCCATGTTTTTATGGGTCTGCAGCCCCGCAAGTCCCTGCTTTCTGTGCTCCCTACGCCTGCCCCATTCACGTCCTTGTCCCCACCATGTCACCTTGCTGATAACTCCAGCGGTCCTTTCTCCCCAGGTACCTGGGCCAAGTGGTGAGGATACTCAGTCTTTTCTTTGTCTTCTCCATCTTGTTCGTCATGCCCTTCGTATCCTCAATTTCCAAGAGCTTGGGCATGAGGATCTCTAAGGATGACCCTGCTGTGGCCAGGGGACACTGGCCTGGCACACCCTCGGTCCCCTGAGGCTCCCTGTTGGGCTTTTGGGGTGCTCTGGCCTCCATCTTTGAGATGGAGCTCGGCGAGAGGGGTGGCTGGATGTTCTCCCACCTCTTTGCGGGCAACGCTGTGGGCGCCTGGGAGCCCTGGTCTGCCCTCGGGCTGCCAGGGGCCTGCTTGGAGCGGGGGGACGCTTTGAAAGGCCACCTCTGGTCCGAGAGCGGCTTCTCTGCCTCCCTGCCCGCCGCCGGCGTCCTCTCCAACACGGTAACCTGGCTGGGGTCCAGGGTCTCTGGGCACAGCCTTGACGCGGCAGACACCTGGGGGCTCAAGAGACAGGAGGGCAAACCGACCAGTTCCGGTCTCAAGGGCAGCTCCCTGGAGTTGGCCAGGATCACCATCTTGGCAAAAGTGAGCTCCTTCACAGAGAAGGGACTTCTGCGCTCCTGTGGGCCCCCTTCCACTGCCAGCGCCTGGGTCTTGACCCACTTCTGCTGCCGCATCGGCTCGGGCTTGAAGGCAGGCAAGCCCGCGGGTCCCCCCTCCTTCACCCCGTGGACCTTGTCCTCCAACTTGCCCTTGTCCTTCGGGCCGTCCAGGGGTATGTCCTGGGCTGTGCTGATCACGACCCCCTTCAGCTCCTTCTTGGTGGTGCTGAAGGGCATTTTCTGGGCCCGCACTTGTGTGACTTTTGTCGCCTGGGCGCCCAGCAGCACCAACGGCTCTGTTTTCCCCTCAGGCTGGCTTCTCTCAAGCGCATTCTCAACGCAACATCCCCTGGTCAACGGGCCCAGATCAGCAGAGCCCAAAGTCGTCTGGGTCTGGTATCGCGCGGGTGAAGCCGGAGCCTTCGGGGACAGGGTAGGTAGGAACAGAGGTTTCTGTGTGGGGACAGGACAGGGCACGGCTTCCTGGGGAACACCTGCGACACACGGTGGGGTCTTCCGAGACAGGGAACGTATGGCTGCCACCTTCTGGGAAATGGCCAGGACACGTGGGGTCTTCCTGGATGGGCTGCGTATGGCTGGGGCTTTCTGGGGAACAGAAGCTGGAACTGGAGTCTTCTGGGGAGCAGAAGATCCCGCCGGGGCCTTCCAAGATGGAGCAAGTACAGCTGAGGCCTTCTGGGACTGGTCAAGGATGAATGGGTCCTTCCAAGAGGTGCAAGGGGCGGAGGGGGTTTCGTGGGAGGGTGGAGGCCTGGCCTTTTGGTTGTGCTTGGGGACAGAGAAGTAGGAGGCAGGCAGGTAGAAGCTGGGATAGTAGGCGGCCTGGCCAAGGGAGTCGGAGGACAAAGTGCTGGATTCGGTGTCCGACAGGTCTTCCATGTTTCGCTGCATATCCACGTGGTCATAGGAGACCAGCAGGGAAATATCGGGGCTGCTCTCTGAGATACAATGTGAAGGGGGGCCCACTGAGCTGCCAAGGAGCGCCGCCCCGTCGGACTCGGATGCACAGCTCTGGAGTGGAGGAGGACGAGGGGAGGGTCGGTCAGGGCCCGGGGAGCCTCTCAGACACGGACCGGGCCCCGGCGCCTCCTCCCTCAGACCCGGGAGCCGGGCTCGGGCCGCCAGCGTATAGCTTGCCTTGGAGGAAGACAGCTTTTGGTTGATGATGTTGGACACGTTGCTGAAGATGGTCCGGATGGTGATGTTGGGCTCCCCTGGGGGGGCAGAAAACAGCCTGAGCACTGAGGCGCTGGGCCGGAGCTCTGGGGTTCCTTCCCAGAAGCAGAGGGAGACGTGTGCTCACCAGAAAACTGGACTCTGGTCTGAGAGCTGTGAGGGCCGAAGTCTGGGTGGGACCTGCGGGCACAATAGGGTGGGACCCGGCTGGCACCCCCATCCTTCCCCCAGCCCCACCGGGGACACAGCCCCGAGCCTACTTTCTCTCTGCGGCTTTCTTCCGGGTGCCAGGGTGCTCCAGCTGCGACCAGACGAGAGGCACGGAGTCGCCCACTGCCTGCGACTTGACTTGGCGCTTGGGGGTCTGGCAGAGGGTCGAGAACAGGAGGGCTGTCAGGAGGCGCCGCCCCTGCCCCTCACCCAGGGGCCTGCCGGGGCCTGCTCACCTTGGCCTTCCTCTGTTTCTGAGATTTCAGCTTCTTGTGAGGAAAGGGGGGATCCACAGCCATGACTGAAAAAAGAGGGGGAGACCTGCGTCAGGGCCCCCCGGGCCTGGGAGGGACAACGCGAGAGGAGCCGGGTGGGGGGCCGCGCCAGGGGTCAGGCAGAAGGGTTGGGAAGGCCGGCGCTGGGAGCCCCTCCCACATGTGGTGGGGGAGGAGCTGAGGTGCAGCCCGCGGCTCACCTGAACATCTGCCACGGGACGGGTCCTGTGGACGGAGAAGGGACAGTCAGGAGGGGCGACCTCTCCCTGGCTTGCCCATGTCCACTAGTACCCAGCCTGAGCTCCCGGGCCCCCAGGCCCGCCTGCCTCAGACCAGCTGACCCAGCCCCCAGCCCCATCCCTGGGGACCCTGGACTTCACGGTCTTTTGAATCTAGAACCATCTGTGCCCCCGGGGTCTGTGCGATCAAGCCCCCACCTGGAGGCGCCAGGTGGAGGCGGGAGGTGCCAGCCGGGCCAGGTCCGAGAGGGGCGTTTTCAGGGCCCTGGGCGTCCAGAAGACGGCCGGCTCTTGGAGCAGGCGGATGAGATGGATCCAGCGGTCAAAGAGAAACGCGACCTCGCTGTTGGGGGCGTTCAGCTCCAGGTAGTAGTAACGGCCTGTGATCAAGCAAAGCTTCAGGCGCCAGGCAGACAGGTTGTGGACGCAGAGGTGGACCAGGTCCAGCGGGATCATCCTGGTGGAGGCAGGAGACGGAGGAGGTAGAGCAGGAGATGGAGGCGGGGGCGGCGGGGGAAGGAGGGGTGAAGGCACCTGGTGAGGATGAGGCCGGAGCAGTCCCTGCCGTCCGAGGGCCGGGCGATGAGCAGCAGGTCCGGCAGCATCGGGCCGGGCAGGGAGGCAGCCACGCCCATGGTCAGATGGTTGGTTCTGTGGTGTATGTACACGGGGGCCCCTCGGCTGGTCACCTGGGGGGCCAGGGGGAGGGGCTGGGATCACTGCTTCCTGAAGCCCTTCTGTGGCACCCCCAGACCAAGCTCCCACCCCGAGTCCCCAGCAGCCCCGCAGCCCGCAGCCCATCGGGTCTCATTCGGCCCCTCTCTGCCCCGGGGCGCAGGGAGCTGGGAACCTGGACAAAGTTACTCTCGAACATGGGCAGCGGGCGGAGGGGCAGGTACTCTCCCTTCTGGAGGGTCTTCTGCAGCTGGCCCAGCACAGGGACCCACTGCGCGTGGCCCGGCAGGGGGTCCAGGCGCCTGATGTTCCAGAGCCTGTTCATGGCGGCTGCAGAAAGGGGGATCGCCCAGGGCACGGAGTCAGGGACCCAGCACCCTCTGGCCCACTGGCCCTGGCCTCAAGGTCGGCTCCCCCGGGGCTTGGCCACGGCCCTGCCAGGGGGTCTGCCTGGCCTGGGGGAGGAGCCTACCATGGAGGAGCTTTGTGACCTCATCGGACACACATGGGACTCTTCCTAGGAACTCTTCTGGGGGCCACGGGCTCCTTTCCCGTCCAGAGATGTGCACTGGGGTCCTGAGGACGGAGGGCAGGTGGCGTGAACCAGAGGCCCACCCCAGACTCAAAGCAGTGATAGGACAGGGCCTCCTGAGATGTTGCAAATGGATATCTTTAAAAAAATTTTTTTTTAAATTTATCTTTTACAGAGGGAAAAAGAGAGGGAGAGAAACATCTAAGTGTGGTTGCCTCTCAAGCGGCCCCTGCTGGGGACCTGGCCTACGACCCAGACGTGTGCCCTGACTGGGAATCGAACCAGCGGCCCTTTGGTTTGCAGGCAGGCGCTCAATCCACTGAGCCACACCAGCCCGGGTGGGCTTCTGACTGTTAAGGGGGAGTCCCAAATACAACCACCACCAATGACTGACCCTTCTTTAGATGTTGAGTAAGACCCATACCCCCACGGAGCCTCAGTTTCCCCATGTCAAAGGCATTTGTGTCTGTGGACAGAGTTGCTGTCTATCAAGTTACAGAGAAAGGGCCACACCCTTTGCAATGAGCCTGATGTGGGGCAGAATCACAGTCGTCTCTCCCTCGCTGTGTGACCTTGAGCACCAGGCAGCCCCCAGCCTCAGTTTCCCTCGCCTGTAAAATGGGGTGTCGTGCAGGATCCAGGGGACCATGTTCGTAAAACCCTACACGTAAGGTGCGGCCCAGAGCACACGCTCAATGAACGGTCGTCCCTTCTGAGAGCGTTTTCTGGGGGGAGGGCGGAGAGGGACTGGTATTCTGTCACGCTAAAAATAGTGTTTATTATTTTTTGACAATGTGTCATGCAAAAGACATGGTGACTGGAGAAATTCTGAGGATTACAAGCACAAATAATAAGTCACCCGCAATGCCACCCCACACCTTCTATCTGGAGGCTGTCGCTGTCAACATTTTGGTATGTTTCCTTCCAGGATTTTAAAAAAATGCCATATATAGAGAGAAACACACCACGGGGCTCAGGCCGCGGTTTGCAGCCTGCTGGTGCCCCGTCTGAAGCAGCCCCTGCAGCTCCCGCTCCTGCCGCCAGGGTGCGCCCTGGCTCACTCAGCCGCCCACCCCCGACCTCGGACATCGCTGTCGCTTCCGATTTGCTGGTGTGAACTCCGCGGTCGGGAACAACAGTCCCCTTCCAGCTTTGTTCTGTACGAGCACTCTGGGTCACAGGGTGACCCTCTGGAGCCTTCCATTAACTATTTATCGAACGCCTACAAGGGGCCAGGCACCGGGGGTGGGGGCCCAGATCCTGCCCCTCAGCGTTCAGGGGCCGTGGGGCCCTGGTGGAGTCCCCTCCCCGGCCTTGCCCGCTCGGGGCCCCTCCTGCTCCCTGGCCCAGGGGCCCCAACATCCAGCCGCCGCCGCCCCCCACCTCCCGCCATCAGCCCCCGTAGAAACAGCCTCCGAGTAGACGCGTATGATAAATTTATTTCCCCTTCTGCATCTCACAAAGGTTTCTCACATTTTTGTACAAAAACCCAAGCCTCCTTTCCCCTCCCTCCCCACCCCAACACAAAAAGGAATAGTTCAATAAATAATATATGCTCCTGCTTAGGCCCAGAGGAGTGGGGGCCAGGGAGACACTGCGGCCAGACTTCTTAGAGATCCAAGAATCTGGGACCCCAGCCCCCTCCCGCTGGGGACCCTGAGTCCACGTGCCTCCCACCCACCCCCCCGAAATAAATAAGTATAAATAAGGCACAGGTGTCCCTGCCCAGGTGTCCTGGGGGACGATCTCTAACTAGGGGGAGATAATAGGGAGGGGGGGTCCTCTGGCTGCCACGCCCCCAGTCCCGAAATAAATAAATAAATAAGGTCTGGTGGTGAAGGGTGCCGGGGGCCCTGGGCGGCGGGTCACAGCCGCGTCCTGAGCAGCAGCAAGCCCCGCACCGCCCAGTCCAGCGTCAGGTGCAGCCCCCCGAGGATGGCGTGGGCCGCCCGGATGCCTCCCCAGGCCGAGGCCGGTGGGGCCAGCGGGGGCGCCGGCGGGTCCGGGGCCGCCTGGGGCAGGGCCAGGCGAGACATCTGTTGAGAGAGGACAGAGTCAGCAACGGCCAGGAGTGCAGCAGGGGGCTCCGGGAAGGGGTGCTTAAAGCCCCTGCTGAATCGGATTTGGGGGTCCAGGCTGCACATTTCCAGGGTGTCTCTGGTCTACCGGGGGGGGGGGGGGGCTTGGCATCCGGAGTTCAGAGCGTTGGGTTCGGACAGTGGAGGCTCTGCCCAAAAGGTAGGGGCGTCTTAAGGCTGGGGTCCCAGGGCCACGTGGCTCCAGGGGGCTGAGGGCGAGGCCTGTCGAGTTGGGGCTGGAATCCTGGGTGCAGGGTGAGGGCTGGGCGCTGTGGACTCCCGTCTGGGGCAAGGCCTGGATCTCAGGGCTGCGGTCTTAGGTCTCAAGGACTCAGGTCTGAGGGCTGGGGTCTCAAGTGCGGGGCCTCCGAACTGGGAGCTAGAATTTGAGGTCCAGGGACCTTGGGGTCAGGCCCAGGGGCCTTAGGGTCTTGGTCTGTGGCTTTGGAACTCAAGGCGCAGGGGCCTCAAGGGCTCAGGAGCAGGGTCTGGAGTCTTCGGGAGGCGGGGCTTGTGTTTCGGACCCCAGGGTCCAGGTCCTTGAGCTCTAGGGGTTGCCAAGTGAGGGGCTCTAGTCCGTCTCCTGAGGATCTGGCGATCTCAGGGTCCGGAGGTTCAGAGTTTCCAGGGCTTGGGTTCTGGAGTGCAGCGTCTTGGGGCCAAGGCCTCCGTGTCACAGGTGAGGGTTTGGACGGTGGAGGCTTAGGGCGTCAGCGTGGGAGTTTTGGGGTCACGAGGCTGAAGGGCCTCTGAGTTTTTGGGGTGCGATCAGAGTTTCCAGGCCGGATGTGGGAGCCGGGGGCCTCAGGACCGCAGGACTGTGAGGACAGAGGGCAGGGGGCTGTGAGCGGGGGTGTCGTACCAGGAGCTGCAGCCGGCGCAGCAGCCGGTCCAGCCGGGCCTGCAGGGCGCCCAGCTCTGGCTCCAGGGTCCGCAGGGAAGGGCCGCCCGCCCTCCGCAGCCACTGCACGTGCCGCAGGTAGGAGAACAGGTCTGCCCGCAGCCGCGTCAGCACGCCCGGAAGCTGGAGGATAGGGCATGAGAGTTGTCAGGAACACCTGGCACGTGTCCCTGTTGTCCCTCGACACCCCTGGACCCCTTCCAGGGCTCGGCTCCCATCTCCACCCCGCCCTCCCCTGCTCTTACCTGCAGGGCCCCCAGCGCCCCAGCACTCATGGCCAAGGTGGGCAGGGAGTCCAGGTTGTGGTCTCCGTCCGCTGGGAATTTGTCTCTCTGGGGAGGGGAAAAAGCCATGAGGGGGACCCTGCCCAGCTCTGGGGGTCCCTCCACCACCAACCCCCACAGGCCTCAAAATCCCCCTCTCTGCGCCTGTGCCACCGTGGAAGCCCAGAGGCTGCCTGAGTCTGCCTCTCGGCCCAGGTCCCCCGCCCTTGCTCTCCAGTCTCTCCTACCAGCTGCGCGGCCAGCTGCCGAGTGTCCGCGAGGAGGGAGCGCGTCAGGAGCACGGCGCTGTCCAGCTCAGCCCGAGGGTCTGGGGAAGCCCTCGGGGGGCCAGGGGGTGGCCCTGGGGCAGCAGCTCTCTCCGGCCACAGGCTCAGCGCGACCAGGACCAGGCAGCAAACACCTGCGGGCGGCGGGGAGGCGCCGAGTGCTCAGGCGGGACGCGTGGTCCGAGGGAGGAGGGCTGGGGGTCTCGCGCCCCAGGGCGGAGCTCCCAGGGCCGGTTGCCGGCCGGGGCGGGCTTCCCTCTCCCTCTCCGGCTCTGGCTGCCCCGCCCGTCGGAGCAGACGCGGCCCCGGGCGGGTAGACGGGCCGGGCGTCTCCCGTCCGCCCCCGGACGCCGGAATCTGGGCCCCGGGGCGGGGCGTGAGGGGGAGGCACAGGCCAGAACCTGCCCCCTCCCGGGGCCCCGGGAACCCGGGCCGGACTGAGAGCAGGGGAGGGAGCTCGGGCCTGAGACCCAGGGGCCCGGGACCCTCCCCAGAGACGCCCCCGGGGCGGGCCGCGGTGCGCCCGCCGCGGTGCGGGATGCCCTGGCACACCTGGGCCGGAGAGCGGGACGCCGCGGCGCAGCGCGGGGGCCTCCGGGGCTGCCCATCCCCCAGGGCCCCGCCCTCCGCCTCCCGCAGCCAATCAGCACCCCCCGGGCCGCCCCGCTCCCGCCGCACACCCCCAGCCCGCCCCCCGGGCCGCTCCCGCCGCTGTCTGTCCGTCCGTCCGTCCGTCCGTCCGTCCGTCGGCATCCGTCTGGCTTCCCCGTTTCTACCTGCACCCCTGCCTCTCCGTCTCTCCTCCTCCTCCTCCTCCTCCTCCTCTTCCTCCTGGCTCTCACCTCCTTGGGCTCTCTGCCTCAGTTTCCCCCATGCAGCCTCTGTCGGGGTCCCCGGGTGGGCGCGTCTCTGGTCCCCGCTGCCTCCCTGGGCGTCCGGGGCCCTTTGGGGCCGCCTCGCCGCATCTGCCTCTCTGTCTCTGCGCGTCCCCCTCTCTCGGTGTCTCCGAGCCTCCGCGCCTTCGCCTCTCCCTCTGCGCGTCCCGCTCCAGGTCGCCGGCTTCCCAGACTCTGCCCTCCGCGCCTCGCCTGCCTCCACCTCGCTCCCTCTCGCTCCTGCCTCTGCGTCCGATTCCGCTGTCTGTCTGCTCCCCACCCTCCCGGCCGAAGGTCCCTCCCTCCTCCCTCCCTGCCCCCCCCACCCCATGAACTTGAACCAACTTACTGTTCATGTCCCCACAGGGTAGGGTTCCCCAGGGCAGGGGGCAGGGAGCTGGGGGCCTTTAACCCTTCCCTGTCCGCTGCCGGGGGGAGCCCCAGGGGTCAGCTGGGCCTCGGCCTGGGGAGGGGAGGCATGTGCGGTGCGCAGCCAGGGCCTCGGCAGTGAGGGAGTGTGTTCGCCTGGGGGGTTATATAGGGGGCCGGGGCGGGCGGGCGGGGGGCAGGCGGCAGGGGAGGGCGGCCTGACACATCCTGACTCACCCTCCCTGCCTCCCTTTTCCATTCAGACGGAGCCGGCTGCCTCGCAGGGCTCACGCCGCCTCGCTCGGAGGAGGGCACGGAACGAAAAGTTGGAAAAGTTGAAAGGGAAAGGGGGGGGTGGTCGGAGAGGGGCTGGTGAGGTCATTGGCGTCCCCTCCCTCCACCTCCTCGGCCGGCCGCCGCTGGGGCAGACACATGCGGCTCCAGAGCTGGGGCCCGGCTGCGGGTGGGGGTCCTCCTGGACCCGGCCGCTGGGCAGCGGGATGGGGAGGCAGGGGGAGGGGGCGACGGCGACTGAGCCACGGGGCGGGCCTGGGGGAATGGAGGCTCCGGAGCGGGGCGGCCGCCGCGAGGGGCAGAGAGACAGGGAGAAGGCTGGAGAAACTGAGACTCGGGCAAGGACGCCAGATGCACGTGGACGGACAGGGTCACGGGGGCAGGGTGGCAGAGCCTGAGACGCAGCGATGAGAGATGGAGTCAGCCAGGACCTCGGAGAGGAGAGGCTCTGGGCCGGCCATCGGAGAGGGAGGGAGGCAGGTGGCACCGCGAGAGACTTGGCGAGGCCCACGGTGACCCCCTTGGAGAGGCCCACAGAGACCCCCTGAGGAAGAGGGACAGAGACACAGAGTCTCAGAGAGAGAGGACCCGGGCCCAGAAGACACAGGGAAAGCGGAGACACCAAGGCCGGGCAGCCAAGAGAGAGAGAGAGGCCCCCAAGTCACAGACAGAGACAGGGCCAGGAGTTAGCAAGGGGACAGAGGGAGAGAGAGCCTTTCTCCAGGTGACAGGTAGGGACAGGAAGGGGACAGAGAACCAGACACAGAGTCGGCAGGCGGCTGAGCGAGAGAGATGTGGAGACACCCCGGAGAGTGGGACCTCAGGCCTGAGGCTTCACCCCTCTGGGCCCCAGTCTCCCTGTGACATCGGGGACACCCGAGTGCCCGCCCCCACCCCCACACGCCTCGGTGCGGACAGAGTGAGCCCCCACTCGTGTGCAGAAAGCACCTGGCCAGTCGGTCAGCTCTCAATAAATGCGAATATTGCTGTTTTTGTTGGTTTTTATTATCACATTCGGGGAGACGAAGAGGGGAAAGATGGAGCCACCGGGGGACACGGATGCGGCCGTGCAGGGCGCAGCTCTGACGGGAGGACACCGCGAGGAGGTGGGGACCGCAGAGGTGTCGGAGCAGGAGAGGGAGAAGTGTCCAGGGACAGAAGGGCTGGTGCAGGCCGGCGGGTGGCCGGGAGCGCCAGGTGTGTGTGTGTCGGGGGAGGGGGCGGTCGCGGGGCAGTCACAGCAGAGCCTGGGAGGGGCTGAGACAGAACCGCACCCCCAGGAGCACCCCACCCCCCGGGGTGGCGGGGAAAGCCGCGAGGACAGCGAGAAGACCAAAGGTGACAAGGCTTTCCAAAGGTCTCCCTGCAGACCCCGCTCCTGGCCCCCAGACCGCGCTGAGCCGGCAGGGGGGCTCGGGGGATGAATGGCAGCTGGAGTCATCCCCCACCAGTGGGGGGCAACGGCTCCGGTCCCGGGGGAGGTGAGGTCACAGCCCCCCCGTGGTGGGACATGACCTCATCGCCTCAGGTAAGCGCGCGCGCGCTCTGCCTCTCCCTCGCTGGGTCACGGCCGCCCCTTCCACGGCCCCCCAGGGGCCCGCCCCAGCCCCTGCTCCCGCCGGGACCTGGGCTCCTGACCGCTGGGTCTCCACCCCTCAGGGGGCCTGCTTCCGGCTGAGTCAGTGTGGGGGGCCTAAGGCTGCGTCAGTGAGGGGAGAACTGACGTAGCCCCCCCAGACTGGCGGGGGCCAGCCAAGGTGACTCAGGCCACCAGCCTGGGGGACGGACTGGCCTGAGGGAATGGGGACTGGGCCCGGGGCAAGCCTGAGAGCAAAGGCGGGGGTCTGGTCACCGCGGCCCCTTCCACCGACGGGAAACCTGGGGGGCCAGCCCCAGCGCCCCATCGACCCAGGGCTCCCCGCCCCGGGCCCCTCCTCCCTCAGACCCAGGTGTCAGGAGTGCAGGCCCTAACCCCCAGTGTCTAGAAAGGTGGGGACAGATGTGCTGCCATAGTGCACCTTTGGGGGCGCTCGCTTGGGGGAGGTCAGGAGCCTGCGGCGGGGTCGGAGGTCCCTGGCTGGGCCGGTTGCTCTGTGTGCCCGACCTTTGCCCTCAGGCTGAGGGCCCTCTACCCCGGGGGCCGCAGGAGGCTCAGGGAGACCAGCTGGGTGTGTGGAGCGGGGGATATCGCCCAGGATCGCTAGGTCTTCCTCAGGCTTGGGGACACGCGGGCCACTTCTGTGGAAAGGAGAGCAAGGAGGAGAGAGGCAGGACTGGGGAATCCCGAACAATGAGAGATGACGACAAGCGGAAACAGGGACAGAGCTCCGGGACCCAGGGTGAGGAAAAGGCAGAGATGCAAGAACAGTGAAACCTAGAGGTGTGGAGGGAGCGAGCGTGGAGGTTGAGCCACAAACGCTTGGGGGGACAGGGGCCTGAGGCCCTGAGGGGTGGTCACAGACGTGGCGTGGAGACGCCACAGGGACGTGACGGGGGAGCCCAGGGTCCTCGCTCCTGTGCTGGTCCCCGGGCGAGGTGGGGCTGGCTGGCGTGAGGTCAGCAGGTCCAGGCTGTGTGTGTGTGTGTGTGTGTGTGTGTGTGTGTGTGTGTCCGTCTGTCTGTCCCTGGGGGGTCCTGTCTGGCCTCTGGGGGGTGACGGGGCAGGCGAGCCGCAGAGGCAGCCCAAACCTGTCATTAGCGGTAAGGGCCGTGTCGGTGGGGCCCCCCCGCCCCCCCCCCCCCCCCCGTCCCAGGCTGCCGGCCGGGCCAGCAGCCCCACCCCCACCCCCTCCTCGATCCCTGAGGAATCCCGGGAACTGGAAGTGGGTCCGGATGATGTTGACACAGGAAACGGTCAGCAGCTGCCCGGCCTCAGCCCCACAACCCCACGGACCCCCAGCCCCGGCCCCCTGCCGGGCCCCCTCTGACCTGTGTCAGAGGACCTGTGTCATCTCTGACGGAGGCAGCCCAGGGCCCACTCAGCTCCCACCAGGATGTTTACAGATGACAGAATGGAGTCAGCCCCGCGGGGCTTTCCGAGACGCGGGGTCTGCGCTCCTGAAGAGTCGCCCTTGGACCTGCTCCCTGGCCCCCTCCTCCCTCAGGCCCAGGGGTCCTGACCCCCCCGTTCCCTCTAAACCAGGTGCCCAGGACCCCAGGTCCCTTGTCCCTCGGACTCCAGAGCAGGGACACAAAGACCCGCTGCTCTGGGACGGCTGAGTCACCTCCTCACTGTGCTGCACCCGTGAGTGGGGGTTCCCTCAGGAAGAGCAGGAGGTCGTGTCCCCTCCCCGCCCCCCACCACTGAAGGGCACCAAACCAGGAGTTTGAGGACCTCCAATTGGACAATGTTCCCCATTTCCTGGCGGGGCGATGGGCCTAGGCGGGCAAAGGGTCTCCCTGCCCAGGAGTCCCCTCACCCTGCGCCCTGAGATCTCCCTGCCAGGCGGCAGGCGAGGTCAAACCACTCTGGTTACATACTCGCTACCAGGGGACTTGGCCTGCCATCGAGGCCGGGGGACCCCTGAGCAAGTGCTCCACCCCACTGTCTCCTCGCCCTCCTAGGACCCTGGGTGCTGCTGGGGTGGGGGGCGTTCCCCTGAACCACGGGGCTCAGCGAGGCCTTCTGGGCCTCAGGCCCGCTTGCCCCTGGTTACGGGGCAGGGAAGACCGCAGCCAACGGAGCCTCAGGAGACTTCGGGCCGCAGGGAGCTGCTTGCAGGCGACGGGTCACTAACAGAGGGACTCCCCGGCAAGGACTCCGGTGCCGGCCCCACAGTCCCCTGGTGGGTGAGGCCGGGAGGCCTTGGACCCCCACCCACTTTCCATGCAGGTCGCAAAAGGGGCTCTTCCAGCCAGACCCCCAGCCCAACCCCAAAGCCCCTTCCACCCGGTCGCTAAGAAAGCAACTCCCCAGCAACCAGGCATGTCCAGGCTAGTGTGACACCCCCTTCCTTCTTTCTGGTTGCTAAGGGGGCGCCCCAGCAACTTGGAACCCTGGGGGCTGGGCGGGCAGGCGGGCGGGGCCCCCTGATGCTGGGGGATGGCCCTCAAGGGCTCTCATCACAGAGGCCCCAGGGGTCTGAGGCGGCGACATGGTGGGCCGCGGGATCCCAGCTCTGAGCCTCTTCCTGCTGATGCAGGGCTCAGTAGGTGAGGGGCCCCGGAGAGAGGGTCAGAGAGCTGAGCAGGGGGCGTCCTCGCCCTCCGCACAGCGCCTGATGCCCCTTATTTTCCTCCGCAGATGGGAATGGCATCCAGGGGTTCTTCTATCCATGGAGTGAGCGGTGGATGAGTCCTGGGTCCCCAAGGCTCAGGGCCCAGACTAGACTCTTGGGTCCAAAGGGAGGGGGAGCTGGGGGCCTGGCCTCCTGGGTCTGAGGGAGGAGGGGGCTGGGGGCTTGGACTCCCGGTCCGAGGGGGCAGGGGCGGGGGGCCTGCCCTCCTGGGTCCGTACAGCGCAAGCTGGGAAGCTGGGCCTCGGGATGCCGGTGCTCCGTGGCCCTGGGGCCGGGCTCTGTGACACAGCCACCGCTCGTGGTTGGTCCCAGGCTGCGAAGGAGATGTGGGGGACCGGGAGAGCTGTGGGGGCCAGGCGGCCATCAAGAACCCCAATCTCTGTCTGCGTCTACGGTGCTGCTACCGAGATGGGCTCTGCTACCACCAGCGGCCAGACGGTGAGCACCTGGACGACAGGGTCCCTGGGGGCCGGGGGAGGCCGGCAAGTGGGCGGGGGGGCCCCTGGGTCTCAAAGGTCTGAACTTTACTTTGCCCAGAAAACCTGCGGTGGAAACACATGTGGGCGCTGAGCTGGTCGTGCGCAGGCCTTCTCTTCCTGATCTGCAGCATCTTCTTGTTCTGGCAAGTGGGGCTGGGGTTCGGGTGGGTCCCGGGGCCCCCCAGGGGAGCAGACGGGTAGGCTAAGGCTGAGTGTTTCCCCTTCTGGGCAGGTGGGCTGAGAAACAGGATGTGCTGCGCCTCCCCGGGTTCCTGCAGGGCAAAGGCAAATCGTCCAGGGCCGTGTCTCTGTCGTCCCAGGACCGGGCGAGTCGGAAGACAAAGGCGTCCCACGGCAGCGCCTCGCGCACTCTTCCTTTGAAGAGTACCCTGGACAGCACAGGGGCCACCGAAGGGGGCGAAGAAACAGAAGGGGAGGATGAAGATTAGGGGCGCCCCCGGGGGGACCCCTCAATAAAGATATGGCATGCAGACGTGTGGTGTGTTTTCTGAGCCCCGGGAGCTGGAGGTGGAGGAGCCCCGGAGGCAGGGGGCATAGGCGTGTGTTTGGGGAGGGGCGTGGGTCGTGACCTTGAGGGTGGGAACTGAGCGGGGCTGGAATGAGGAGTCTGGGGGTACGTGGGGAGGGTGCGCGCAGGGCGGACCGGCACTGATGGGGTCCCCACGCTAATTTAGGGGCCTGGGCTGAAGGGCGGGGTCCGGGCGGTGATCATGGGGGTTCTGGACGGAGGGGATCTGAACCGAGGGAGTTGGGGGGGCCTGAGCCGGGCTGGGGGGTGTGCCCCAGCCAGGGGGATGTACCCCTCAGCTCTCTCCCTGCAGGAAGTGCCTCTGCTCGACAGCCTCTGCTGCCCGCCAGGGTACCGTGTGCCCCCGCACCAGCATCTGCCAGGCTTCCCACGCAATGTCTGGGCACAGCGGGGGTCCCTGCGGGATGTGAGCTCCCCCCCCCCCCCCCCACACCCGGCAGACAAGCTCAGCTGGCAGACCCCCAGTGGCCTGGCAGAAATTTTCTCAGGAGTGCATTACAGTTTAAGACTCAGCCTAACCCTGACCCTCCTGTCTTCCCTCGTCCTCGCTCAGCCTCAGACCCACAGCAACCTCCCCTCGGAAAGTTTTCCCCCCAATAAATATCCCGCAAGTTTAATTTGTCCTTCTGTCTGTTTCTCAAAGGGCCCCACACCACCACAGGGGCCTGGGTGGAGGGAGGCTGGATAGAGAGGGTTGGTCTGGGCTCAGGATCCCGGGGAAGCTGGGCTCCTATGGCCCTGGGGCCTTTGGGATCGTCAGGAGCACGTGGCCGTGACCGAGCCCACCCGGGCCCTCCCCGTACCCCGGCTCCCGTGATGTCCCTCTCCCAGACAGACAAGCAGAGCTGGGAGGCAGGCATTTATCCAGGTGACAGAGGAGCACAGGGGGACATCCTGGCGGCCACACGATGTTGGGAGCAGCTGCACATCTTGGTCAGGTCCTGGTAGGTGGGGCCGTGAGTTCGTCTGCAGGAGGGAGGGTGCCGTTAGTGGCTGCGGGGGTCCCCATGTACATGTGTTCCCTGCCCGCACCGCCCAGAGCCCTGGAAATGCGGGGGAAGCCCTCTCCACCTGCGTCGGCCCCTCCCCCACGGGCTCCCACACTCGCCCACCAGCGCCTCCCCCGTCCAGGCCCCGGTTGGCTGAGGCGTGCATGTGACTCTAACTCACTGGAACGCCACGGTATGGGCGGGGAATGAGAGACCAAGAGCCACAGAGGTGTGGAGACAAAAAGAGACGTGGGAGACACGGAGGGACAGAGAGAGGAAGAGAGACAGGCGGGCAGAGGCTGAGAAAGACGACAGAGAGGGGACAAATGAGCGAGAGTGTGGTGGGTCTTCATGGACACTCAACTAAGTTGGTCCCAGGATGGGAGGGGAGGCACTGGAGTCAGGACCTATGGGTCCCGCTGTTAAAATTCAGGTGTTCTCCACGTGCTGGGAACACCTCCCCTTCCCCACTGCAGAGGAGTCCTGCGTCTGGATTCCATCCATCCATCCATCCATCCAACCACGTACTACTCATCTATCCATCCATCTACCCGTCTATCAATCCAACCACATCCACCCAAGGCCTTCTAATAGGAGCCTACACGCAAGTCAGCTCGGCCAGTTTCCGGCAGCAGTGGAGGTCTACCCAGCGGCGGGAGACTTCTGGGCACGGCAAAGGGTTTTCAGGGGTAATTGGAACCACGGGTGGTTATTTCTGCATGATAGGCCAAATTCTGTGTTAGCTCATGCTTCGCCTATTATACGGCTGTTCATCCTTTCCTACGAGGTTTCCTCACTTGAACCACAGGGGAGAGCGTTTGACTGGAGTGACTATTTTCTCAGTTCTCACACAGAAGGGTGTATGACTAGTACCGTTCTGGACGTATAAAAGAAAAGTTAGTTCGTCACATACAAAGAATGTCTTAGGACACTAGGGTTTAATTGTTTTATGGAAACCCCGTTTGAGAACCTGATTCAGGCAGTCATTCATCCGTTTGCTCCGCCTACCCATTCACCCATTAAAAACCCAGCCATCCACCCATCCAGGTACTTACCCATCTGCCCAAACCCTCCAGCCTGCCACCCCTTCACCCATCTACCCTCCCACTAATTCAATCATATCTATGCAACCAGATAGCCATCAACCAATTTATCTACCCAGCCAGTGATCCAGCCGCAGCCACCCATCAACCAACCTATCCATCAGTCCATCTATCCATCCGTCCACCAATCCATCCGTCCATTCAACTGTCCATTTGTATCCACGCAACCGTGCATCTACCCACCAACTCATTCATTCATCGTTCCACCCATCTATCCAGCAATTCATCCATCCAACCATCCATCAACTAATCCATCCACCCATCCATCAACTAGTCCATCCATCCACCCAGCTATCAACTAGTCCCTCCACCCACCCATCCAGCAACTGGTCCATCCATCCAACCATCCATCAACTAATCCATCCACCTTACCCATCCATCAACTAGTCCATCCATCCACCCATCCAGCAACTAGTCCATCCATCCACCCAGCCATGAACTAGTCCATCCCTCCCACCCATCCATCAACCAGTCCATCCGCCCATCCACCAACTCATCCATTTATCTCCCTATCCACTCACCTACCCAGGCAATCCATCCACTCACTCATTCGTCCATCCACTCAGGTAATCGTCCCCCTCTGATGTCTTGGGCTCACTTTTTGCTGGGAAGTGCTAAGAGCATACACACTAGAGACTCAGGCCTCACCTCAAGGGTCTCCCTCAAGGCCTCCCTGTTGGGTGGGAGAGACGGCACCCGCACACACAGACACGACACATGGTGATACAAGCAATAATGGGTAACTCACAATATGAAGACCCAGAGAAAGGCAGCGAAGTTGAGTTGGATCGTAAAGGACACATGGGAAGTTTTCTGTGGAGTACAGACAGCCATGGCACTCCTGCTGTGGGGAGAGCATGAACAGAGGCCAACGGGGGTGAGCGCCGTGCTGCCCATGGTCAGAGGGACGTCACCATGGCTGCGGAGAAGGTGTGGCGCTGAGGCAAGGTGGGCCCACAGGTCACGCACGGCGGGGGCTTAACCAGAGGGCAGTGGGGAGCCATGGCAGGTCTTTGAGCAGAGGCATGCATGCTGGAGAGTGTGTTTAGGAAACGAAACAGAAAACAGAGGAGGGATAAAGGGGAGGGAAGGCGCCTTCCCCGCGTCTTGGCCTGCGCCACCATCACTCTCCGGCCTCAGTTGGTCATGCCCACTTGTACCCCCTCTCTCTTTAGACTTTTTGTTAGGAGAATCCCAGCTGTGTGCTCCTGGACAAAAAGTGGCAGTTTTGGGGCCTCAGTGTCCTCTACTGGGATGGGGATGGTAAGAGCCGTGTCCTCGGAGACCCAGTTAACATGGTCCCCAGTTAACATCCCAGATGACATGGGATCTGATGTCCCGGTGTTGGGGGGGGGCGGCGGCAGGAATGCAGGGAGGGACCTTCAATCTAACAGTGACTCTCCCCCTTCTGGAGCGGGGAGGGGGCACGCATGCCTGCTCTCTCCATCCTCTGGGTCTCTCTGCCTCTCTCCTTTCCTATCTTGACCTGGTTCTGTGTCTCTCCCGCTCCATTGTCGTTCACTGTCTCTATCTCCACCTTTCCCTGTGTCTCTAATTCCAGCTCTGCCGAAGTCCCTCCCTTTCTGCTCTGTCCCTCCCTCTCTACCCTTGGTACCTCCATCTCTCCCCTCTCCCTCGGTCACTCCCTCTCTCCCCTCAGTCCTGCCATCTCGCCAGCTGTCCCTCCGGCTCTCCCCGCCCCGCCCCCCGGCCCCTCACCTCAGGCTCACTCAGTGCCGGCGCCCGCCGCCCCGGGCGCGGCCTCGAGCGTGGCGAGCTGCAGGCGTACGCGGCGGGAGCCGGCGTTGGGCGGCAGGGGTGTGCGGGCGGCGCGGCGCGCTCCCCGGGAGCCCGGCGCCGTGCGCTGGCCGGCGGCGGAAGCGGGCGCCGACCAGCGGCGGGAGAGCTTGCGCGCCAGGCGGGCGAGCGCGGAGGGCCGCAGGCCGTAGTCGCGTTCGAGTTCCTGGCGCGATATCTCGATGTTGCCGGTGTACCAGAGGATCCAGCCCAGCAGGCTCATGAAGACGAGCAGCGCGCCCGAGTAAATGAGCAGGTCGCCAAAGTCTCGACCGCGCACCTGTAGCTGCGCGAACACGCCGGTCAGCAGCGCCGCCATGCCCGCCACGTCCAACGCCACGGCCAGCAACAACGCCATCCGGCAGCGGCCCAGGCCGGACGCGGGCGCGGGCGCGCTGGCCGGCGGGGACGGTGCGCCCGGCGGGGGACCCTGCGAGGCGCACACTGCTGGCACTGCCTCCATGTTCCTGCTTCGCCGCTCTGGCTCCGGCGGGGAGCTTTCCGGGTGTCGCCCGGCCAGGGGCGGGGTCGGGGACGGCGCCAGGTGTGCCCGGCGGCCGTCAGGTCATCTGAGCCGGGCGGCTATGGACTGGCCCCGGGTGCGCCCCGGCCGGGGTTTCCGTGCAGTGCCTGGGGCTGAGGCGTAAGGGTGGCCCAGGATCCCGGCACCCCAAGGAGCGGAAGCAACTCGTGGAAAGTATTCTGGACGCTCTAATGGAGACAGGGCGGGGCACTGTGAGAGTCTGGGCCTTGTGTTCTTCAGACCGCCTCTAGGGGCCCTCTGTGCAGCCACGGTGGGGATAGGTGGTGTCAAAAACAAGGATCAGGCAAGACCCTCGACCCCAAGCACCTCTGGGACGCAGGGGTCAGCAGTCACGAGCCCTGCGGAGCGGAGGTTTCGCTCACTCATTGTCCCCTGGAGCCGTCAGGGTGCCCCGTCCTAGCGAATGTACGGAAGGCACAGAGGTGGACCCTTCACAGAACTCTGACTCCACCGTCAGATTCACGGTGCTTTGATGACAGCGACCTAAGGCATTATCATTGCGTTTGTTCAGTAGGCGTCTCGACGGGGTCCTGCGCTGGTGAGGCTGGGGACTCAAGTACATTAGGCAAGGCTCCTAGCCCTAAAAGATGAGTCGGAAAATCAACAGGGCCCAAATAAACGGAAAACAGACGTCCAGGAAGTTTAACGGGTTGGACATAGCAGACCCAAGGGGAGAATGGGGAGAGGACTGAGAGAGTAAGTATGGGACCTCTAAAAGAACGAACCAAAGGCTTCCCCACGCAAGTCTCTTTTCCTCCAAAAAACTCGCCCATGGAGGAAACCTACGCTCCCCTGGGTGGGGCAGTCTGCGGGAAGTAAGGTCTAGCCTCTCTCTAAACCCAACACTACAATAGTTCATTTTAAGAGGACCCTGAAGAGGGGAACTGAGCGGGGCTGTCGGGATTCCGAAGGGTTCCGAGCGTGGCCGAATGGGACCGAGTGTTTCCGAACAGATCCAAACCGGGCACGGGCCAATAAAGAAAGGCGGCTCCCTTTTCCAAAGGTTTCCGGGGAGCTCCGAAGATACGCGAGCGGGCCTTCCTCGGCAATGGCCGAAGGCTTACGAAGAAGGCCGGAAGTACCGGGACTCCAGGGCTAGGCTTAAATGGTTCACGCTCTCACATGGTCATTCACAAACACAAACCCTAAAACAAATGTGTATTGAACGCCCATCCTGCGCCAAGCACTGAGTGAGCAATCTTAAGGGGAGCCTGCTGAGGAAAGGGACTTAGGGGACTCTCGGGCTCTACCCATTCGGAAATCAAGCTGGAGTTGCCGAAACACTCGAAGGGCCAGGAGTCGCTCCGCGTCCAAGAACACGCCCCCGGGTCTCTGGCCGAAGAGTTCCGAGCGGCTTGTGACGGAATGGCGGAAATCTCCGAGCGTTGCCGAGCCGCTCCGGAGGCGGGAATGAGGAGGCGAAGCGCGGGTGCCCAGAGAGGAAGCGGAAATGCGTGTTGGTATTAAAGGCGTCGCCCCGCCCCTTCCGCTCCTCTTTCGGTCTCCGACTGCCGCTGCGAGAGAAGGTGAGAGGAGGCCTTCCGTCCGTCCGCGTGGTCGTGTCTTGTGCCTGCCGTCCAATTTTTCCCTGCCGGGCTTTCTCATTTCGTCCATCGTGTCCTCCGCGTCCTTGGCTGCCCCCCCCGCCCCGCCGCCGGAAGGCGCTTTAGATTCTCACGTTCTTCCCCGTAGTTAGTCTCGGCTCCCGAGTTAAGCCTCGCCGCCGCCTTAGGTCGCCTGGCCCCGTCTGGGAAATTCCTTGGTGCTCTCTGCCGTCACGTTCTCCGCATTCTCCAGGTCCCCACCCACACCCTCCCGGTGGGATCCCGGGGACCCGCGTCGGCCTGCGGCTCCCTTTGACATCTCCCCGGGCCCCTTTTCCCGCAGCTCCCGCCATGTCTGCCCACCTGCAATGGATGGTCATCCGGAACTGCTCCAGTTTCCTGATCAAAAGGAACAAGCAGACGTACAGCACCGTAAGTGGGGCCTGGACGCCTGGGTATGCGGGAGGCACCTTCGTGGTCGGCGGATCCCCTCCCTCTTCACGATCCCCGTGCGTCTCCCCTCCCCCTTAGGAACCTAATAATCTGAAGGCCCGCAACTCCTTTCGCTACAACGGGCTGATTCACCGCAAGACGGTGGGCGTGGAGCCAGCGGCCGATGGCAAAGGCGTGGTGGTCATCATGAAACGGAGATCGGGTGAGTGCTTTCCCTGGCCGGGGCCAGACGGCAGGCCCCTACTCGGACAGGGACCTGTGGTTTTTCACTGCTGGGAACACGAGTAGTCCTGCCACTCAGTGGAGGGGTCCTGGGGTCAGGGTGTTCCTCTGGGAAGCTGGCTTGCCTCAGCCACCCACCCTCTGTGAGCTGGCCGCGTCTTTTTAATAAGAGCTGACCTGTGTGTACTGGGGATGGTGGTTCAGATTACACTACAGAGGTGCACAATCCGATGATTGATTCAACCCTTCAAACAGCCCAGGAGGAGGTGGATGTCTCCGTCTTGCTTCCTGTGGGAAAACTGGGCAAAATAGATGAGTTTCCCTCTTCCTCCTACTTGTAAAGTGACAGGCTGGGTCAAAAATCAACGTTTTGACTCCCATCCTGCTGTGTGGGCTCAAGCAGAGCACCCACCCTCATAAACTGTACCCTTAGGCATGGAAGGGCCTTTTTAGTGTCTTAGAGGAGGTCGGGGAGTTTGGGGGGCTTTTCTGATTCATGGATATACCATCACCATTTCATCTCTTTGCTGCGGTCTTTAAGGGAGGAATGATGTTTTCCTGGGTCCCTGATTGGGATCAGCTTCTGACTGGGGTCAAGTTCAGCATCTTGCTCATTGTCAGTAGTGGTCCTGGCCTGCCAGCTCCTGATCCAGTGCCTGCTGCCCGCCGGGCGGCTGGCGGGGGGTGGGGTGGGTTACCCTTCCTTCTCAGGAGCACAGCCCGAGAGCCCCCGGTCACGTGTGCTGGTGGGCCTCTCAGGAGTCCACACTCCTCGTTCTGGTGTGTAGGGTCCCGAAAACTTTCTCCTCTTGGGTTGTTGAGTGGTCTTTCCGAGGCTGTCAGGAACGAGACTGATGTGAGGCGTCACGTGGGCCCTGTCCTGGGGTCAGTGGCGCGGCCATACCTGGGTATGGGCAGCGGAGTCCGGACTCCACCTGGGCACCACGGCCCCTCCTCACCCCTGCCCCTCCGTGGCTCCCCGTCATCCCTGCATCGGGGCCAGGCCTCAGCGTGGCGTTCCAGACCCGGGTCACAGTGGGTGCCGTGGCCCCGGCAGGGAGGGCAGCTGCAGCCCTGGGAGCGGTCACTGGCCAGTGCCCGCCTCCCCTCCCTCTGCCTGGGGTCACACGGCCCGTGACAGCTCTGCTGTGCGTGTGTGACTTTGGACCAGGCCTCATCCGTTGTGTCTGCTCTCATCTCTGTAAAGCGAGATGATGGTGAGTGCTGTTTGGGACACAGCGAAGAGAAGATGCCTGTACAGTGCCCACGGCCTGGCCTGGGCGGTCACGGTGCGTGTCCCATAACTGTGGCGACTGGCTGCCTGCCCAGGCCCACCGCAGTGACTCTCGGGTTCTCGGGATGCAATGTACCCTCACGCCAGGGAGGTGCGTTCAAGGCCGAGGACATCCAGCTGACCCCTGGGGCCCCCCTGTCCCCCACCAGGCCAACGAAAGCCAGCCACCTCCTATGTGCGGACCACCATCAACAAGAATGCCCGGGCCACGCTGAGCAGCATCCGGCACATGATCCGCAAGAACAAGTACCGCCCAGACCTGCGCATGGCCGCCATCCGCAGGGCCAGCGCCATCCTGCGCAGCCAGAAGCCCGTGATGGTGAAGAGGAAGCGGGCCCGCCCCACCAAGAGCTCCTGAGCACCCCCAACCCCCACCCCAAACAATAAAGGTATCAGCCAACTTCCTTCAACCACCTCTCCTGGTCCTTCTTTGTGACCCCCAACCCTCTGGCCCTGTGTGTATGTCCCGCAGGCTACGTCGCTAGAACCGTCAGCTTGTCTCTGGGGGGCTCCCACACTCAACTGGTACCAAACGTCCGAGTGTGCTGGGACCGGAGGGACCAGGTCCCGGTGGGGGAGCCCAGTCCCAGCGTGTGGCTTGGTCCAGCCTCCCTGCTCCTGGGGGAGGGCTGGGGGCTGGCGGAAACTCCTGCATTCCGCGCATCAGAGGTGACCGCGGTGAGACCAGTTAGAAAGTCCAGGTTAAATGGAGCCCTGGAATTCTCACAATTTCACGCTGCTGGAACGGGACGACTTGAAGACCTTAAATGACAATTTTTGATCCATGAACATTTAGTCTGAATTTTCTAAGGGGCTGGACTCTAGACTGAGGTCAGCCCATTGGGGTGGGGCTGATTCCGCCACCTGCACCCCACTCCAACCGTGCCTGTGACCTGCAAAGGTAGAAGTGTTTACCGCCTGGGTCTTCATTGCCCATGGACCCTGGCTGTAGACACTCGTGATAGGAACGTGGGGGGAGGGCCGGCTGTTCCTCAGGAGGGCGGTGGCCCTTTTCCAGCCAGAAGAGCGCAGGCCGGCCCTCCCTGCTGTGGTCCTGGGGCCCCACAGGAGTGCAGTGAGGAAAGTCCCAGCACTTCAGGGCCCCCGTTGGGCCATGGCTGCTGGTTCTGGGCCGAGGGTGCCCATCTCTACCTGCCTGGTACAAGCCACCCAGCGGGGAGGTGGCAGCCCCCGGTGTCCTGGCGACCAGCTGCCACATCATCAAACAGGCTGTTCTTGCCTAAGGGCCTGGCCAGACAACTTTCTACCTTCTGCTGCACCGGGAGTGTGAGCACTCCCTCTGTGCAGCGGCAGCCACAGCCTTCGCGCCTGCTCCCTGGGCTCCCTGCCAAAGGCCCTGGGGACCCCCCCCCCCCCCCACTGCCCCTGCTTCTCCAGCCCCACCTCAGCTCTTCCGCGCTCCGCTCTGCCCTGCGGCTGCCTCTCTTTCAAGGTGTCACAGCTCTGTCTCCTCGGGTCTCCCCAGCCCTCTTCCTCTCCCATTGCCTTGCACCTGGAACCTCTTGGTGTTCATCGCAACCTGCAGCAACTGGGCTGCTAGCTGTGTGTCTTTGGGCAAGAAACTAGACCTCTCTCTGCAGCTGTTGTCAAAATTCAGGGGGTTAATGAACGCACAAGGCTGAGAACAGCCTGCACAAAGCAAGTGCTCTGTAATTAGTGGAGAACGTAAGCCCTGTGAGAAGCTGGGCCTTGTCTACTCCACGCATGCCTGGAATGCACTGTTCCATACGTGTGTGAGTGTGTGTGTGTGTGTGTGTGGAGAGGGGCCCCTTCTCATCCACGCACCCATGCAGCCCACAAAGCATCCCCCCTCCATGGATGGAGAAACAGGCTCAGGGAGGGAAGGTCACCAACATCATAGGTCTTGACACAGTTTGCCCCGTACCTACTGTGCGCCAGCCGCTGTGTCAAGGAGCTAACACCAAGGGGACCCTGTGTCCCTGCCTTCCCGGGGACCCTGTGCAGAGCTGAGAAGCCCTCCACCCTTGCTCAGAACCCTGCCACGGTTCCCACACTCGGAAGGGCAGGCAGACCCCTGGCACTGCCACCCAGGCCCCCCTCCTGCTCACCTCCCGTCACCCAGACGCCGGGGGCATTGGCGCCGGCAAAGGAGGGTGGCTGTGATGTGGGGGGGTCTGCGCTGCTGAGAGGAACAGACTTCCCAGCTGGCTGTTAAGTCGCAAAAGCAGGTGTGACATGCTGGTGGTCCGCAGGTAAGGACCCTGCCAGTTGCTTAGAGAATAGATACTGAAATTTGCTACACGAGCACATGGGAACCTTGTTTGTCCCAGTTAAGAAACTGGGTGTTGGGAAGAAAAGGCAGAGAGCCATTTCTTTATAGAAACTTGTTATTTTTAAATTTAAAGAATGTCTTCACTTTCTGAGTGGTAACGTTCACAAGGTATTCCTGGCTTTCCTTCCCTGAGGCATATTTTCGGGTTTTAACGTGACCTTCCTGAGGTATTAAATACATATGCGATCAAAGACACATGCATCCTATTTTAAACAAAATGTTTCAACTTGAACAGAAACAATAGCATGTTATGGACACCGTTTGCATGCAGCTTTTCCCCCACAGCCTACTCTGGAGATTGGTCCATATCAGTACACAATCAGCTTCATGCTTTTAACATTTTGAAGTATAGCCCTGGCTGGTGTGGCTCAGTGGATTGAGTGCCAGCCTGCAAACCAAAGGGTTGCTGGTTCGAGTCCCAGTCAGAGCATGTGCCTGGGTTGCAGGCTAGGTCCCCAGCAGGGGGCACATGAGAGACAACCACACATTGATGTTTCTCTTCCTCTCTTCCTCCCTTCCCCTCTAAAAATAAATTATAAAAAAAATCTTAAAATTCTGAAGTATAGTAGAATACAGAATAGTGCATAAACCATAATTATACACTTAAAAAAATAAAGCAAGCACATACGCATCCCCCAGGTAAAGCAGCAGAAGAGAACAGCCCTCAGAAGCTTTCTCAGGCTGCTTGCTGGATGGAGGAGGCCAGAATCCTGAGCTTTGCAGAAAACTTGCTTTTAGTTTTACCACCTAGGAATGTGTTTAGCATCTCCACTCCTTTTTTGGCTGCTTTGGAATCAGGTATGAAGGCAAACTGTCAGTCTCTTTTTGTGGCGTGTTTGGCTGGTTATGACTGTAATTCTCACTGCTAGTGGTGAACAGCTCATTATTTTTGTGTTGTATCATTTCTTGGATATATAAATATGTTCATACTTGTTTGCAGTTAGGACAGTTGTTTAAGCCTGTATTTTTTAAAAGATTTTATTTATTTTTAGAGAGAGGGGAAGGGAGGGAGAAAGAGAGGGAGAGAAACATCAGTGTGTGGTTGCCTCATATGTGCCCCCCACTGGGGACCTGGCCCACAACCCAGGCATATGCCCTGACTGGGAATCGAACTGGTGACTCTGTGCTTCGCAATCCGGTACTCAGTCCACTGAGCCACACCAGCCAGGGCTAAGCCTGTAGTATGGCGTGCAAGAGTGCTGAGTAATAAATTATGTGATTTCAACTGGACCACAAACATTTCATGCCCCCACCAGGAGCAAATGAGTGCCTGTAGTGCTACAACTGTGCAAACACTTAGTATTGTCAGACTTTAGAACTGTTGCATTTCATGAGTGTAGCAGTATCAACTTTGGCTGATGTTGCATTTTCCCAGTTGTTAATGAGGGTACCTTTTTATGTGTTTTGAAGTCATTTGGATTTCAAGTGCTTTTTCCTGTTTTTCTTTTGTGCTTTTTCTTACCGATATGTAGTGTTTTGTTTCTTAAATGTATTCTTCAGATTAGTCCTTTTCCGTTATAACTTGCAAATATCTTGTCCCACTGATTTGCCTTTCATTCTACTTTAAAGTTCTTGATTTTTAAAAGAAATAAAGTTGACTTGAAATATACTTTACATAAAATACACCTACGTTAAATATAGTTTGGTAAGTTTTGACAAATTTATGCACCCACGCGACCCTAACAATCAAGGCCCATCACCCGGAAACTCCCCATGCCCCTCTCCCTTTGGCCCTCCCGGATCCCAGACCGCCAGTGATGCGCATTCTGCCACTAAGTGATTAGTTTGGCCCGTCTACCATTTCATATAAGTAGGATTGAATATTATTGCACACTTCTGTGTAAGGCTTTATTCAGCATGTACTATTTTTGAGATTCATCCACGTTGTTTTATGTATCAGTATTTTGCTGAGTAATAATTCATTGCATGAATTCACAATTCCTCTACGCAATCACCTGTTGAACATTTGGGTTGTTTCCAGTTTTTGCTTGTTACAAAGGTAGTAACTGTTAAGAATTCATGTACCAGTCTGTATAGAGACCTGTTTTCCTCCTGTTCTTGATACTATATCCTGGGGGCCCAGCTCAGGGCAACACTGTCGATGATGAGCAAGAAACTGAAGCACTGGCCTTAGGTTGCCTTCTGTCTGTGGCCTGCTCTGTGGAGAGCCGACCTGCCTGCTGCCCCAGTTCCCACCCCCTCCCCTGGAGTGGGGGCGAAAGCCGTGACAACGTTGGGGTGTTTCTGCAATCACATCACTTCATTAATCAAGGGCATATCTCATCAGCTGAAGCTTTCGAAGGACTGGGCACTGAAGTTGGACACTTGGGGCTGGCGGGGGAGGGGGGTGCAGGGGCAAGAACCATGACAGCTTCTGGGAGCCAAGGACAACCCCCAGAACTGCAATCCGTGACCCTGAAGAGGACATGAGAAAGGACTGTGGCAGGCAGATACCTCAACTTCAGTGGGAGACTCAGCCAAGTACACAGCTCACCACACGACTCCCGACTGTGGAAACTCTGGGGTAGGTGTCGGTTGTACTGGGCCTGACTCCGATTTGCTACACACGGGAACACGCTGCTACCCAGACGGCCGGATCTGGGTGTGGTATTGTGAGGGGACAGAACTTCGCTCAGGTCAAGGGCAGGTGAACAAGGCTTCGCAGAGGCCGGGAGAGCAAGGCACCTCACACCTGTCACCTGGCCCGCAGGCACCCCCCTTGCCCCATTTCAGATGGGAAATTTGAGACCATCCACAGGGGTGGCCCCAGAACTCAACCAGGAGGCCGGCTGAGCTGAGAGACCCACTCTGGGGCACTACGTGCCAAGTGCTCTGAGCCCCCGTGGCAGGGGCTGGGCCTGGGGCACTAAGAGGCAGAGCAGTTGCTTGCTTTTCCAACTTTATTTAGAAAAACAAATCCAGGTCCCAGTGCCCCACGCCCTCCCCCACCCCAGCCATAACTTAAATAACTTAGAGACAGAGTTGAGGGTTGGGCAGGCGCAGGGAGGGAGGAGCCCACTACAGTCGCCGCAGAGCCCGCTTCTTGTCCGTCTTCTTCTTGGCTGCCAGCTTCTTGTCACGCTCGCCTGCGTGCTT